TGTCAAAGATACGATTAAACAAGTATCTTTTAATCAGATATATAAAGATAACATGTTTTTAAAGTTTCATGTACAATGTACTTGGTAATGAATTGGAAACAATAAAAAATAAATTTTCGTAGAAAGCAGGGAAAAAACACCAGGAAAATACAGTACACATCAACATTACCTATAATGACTGCAGGTGGTCTTTGGTACCCCCTATATGCTTTAAATGTTTCGAATAGTGTGATTGTGTATGTAACTTCGTCAACAAATGTCGTAACACATAGATAAGAACAAAAGACAGGGCATGTTTTGAGACATAACCCGGCTGTGATCAGTTGAAACGTGTCTCCGTTCAAGTGAGAAATAAGTTGTTTAACCTATCATTGTCGGTTTTAAAACAAGACCCACCATAACGCAAGCGTCGACCCCCATGAAAAAGTAAGCCATTTACTATCCGCCAAGAGGTAAGCGGCGTTTTTTACCAAAATAGTTAACGTTTTATTTTCTTTTTCGTTGTCATTTTCTTTTATTCGTTTTTTTTATTATTCATTTTTTGCGAATTTTTGTGTTGGATATTGTTTTATAAAATTCATACTTGACATATCTTCTTTATTGAGGGAGTATGTTTCCATCCACAAATATGTTTTTTTATTATTATTCGGAATTAAAGTTTTTGAAAATTAATTTTCTAATATTTTGTATTTTGAGTATCCTATAATTTCCTAGAGCTGATTCTTCTACTTTGTTTTATATCCGATCATTAAAGTAAAATAAAAGGTATTAAAGCCATGGCTTTCTCCAGTCGTCGCATCACCAGTTATTCCAAACAACAAATGAGACAAAGACTTCGAAAATGTAAATACATTAGAATGATACCATAAGATGCTAATGATACCATAAGATGCTGATATATTGAAGTTATCCTATCATACTTAGATAAGGACTTCTTTTATAACATCTTAAGACTCATTTTATTTTTCTCAATGGAAAAACTACCTGTAACTAATGAGTTTAACTCGTGACATGACACAAATGTTTTGCTGGCAATGTTGCTATCTTTCAAATTGGCTTATCTCTTGTAGACACGATTTTTGATAAACGGTTTGCCCGGATCCGTTCGAAATAATTCTTGCCAAACTTTAATTGTTATATTACAGATGATAGATCAGTTTGGACCTAAAAATCCATCGACAATGACGAAGCTTGGCTTAGAAATCATGTTAATGCTTAAGTTTTCGGCTATAACAGATAACGACGAAGATCCATGGAGACATTCGCGCCTACTTAAATTGCACAAGGTTATTAGGAGAGCTGACTGAAATTCATGACATTATGCTTGATCAGTAAAACCAATGAAACAAGAGAGGCAAGATGAACCTTTCATCACTCACCTGAGTGAAGCTTGCAACTATTTTTGATTTCATAATTACAAAAATGCGAGCATATTCAAGGCATGTTTGCCTAAGTTGACTTAACAAGTACTCTGAACAAGTTTCACCTGAATTTGATCAAAATTGTCACCTCTTGAGTGATACGAATGTTTTCTTGTGATATTACCGGGCGACCTTCTATTTTTAGAACAGATGTCCCTTTATCCCACCTTGACATAAAATTTGATAGATTAAGGACAAATTTAAATGATGTCACTTAAGCCTCATACACCAGTGTTTTTTTACCGTGTGGTTGGACACTGATGACAATTTACCCTTCAGACAAATTTTATCAACAATTATTAAAAAATATAGTTTAAGTTAAAACTGTGTTTTGCTGTGTTTTACAAACCAATGACAGACAAGTGAGCGCACAAGGTACTCGGTGCAGGGGATGCATTTTTGCAAATGACACCTATTATTTACATGCGTACGAGAATATCAGTACAGCATTAGACTTGACTTCAAAAATTGTAGGTCTCAGTCTGTTACTCTAATATGCAATAACATCTTTTATACATTTTATATCACCTAAACAAGATAATAAACAAAAGACAAAAGAAATCAAAGTTTGATGTCGCAGTATAAATACACTAGTTTGCAATATTCATTTGGTTAGAGCAAAATAAATTGTAGTATTCTGATAGTTGCAGCATAAATACCATTACAACATCAATATGCCTATGTCTGAAGAAAAACTGTATAATGTATATAGAATTTAAAGTTAAAGTATTCTTGCACTTATAATATATTCTTATAATATCACATGTATTTGCAGAATATTTTATGTGTTATTAAACTTAAAGATAAAAAATGAAATACACTTTCACAATAGGTGAAAAAACAACAGTATTAACTTATAACATGAATATAGTTACAGTATACTGAATAAATACTTTTGTAGCAATAATACACATTAGTAGTGTTTAAATAGTTTGCAGTACCTCTTTATTTGTATCAAAAATACATTCGTAGTATTGTGTTTCTTTTCTATAATTGTAGTGTAAATACGAGTGCAGTATTGATAAATTTGTAACATAAGTAAAGATAAAAGCATACTAAACAGTTGCAATATAAATGTCCTTGCAGTATAATAACCAATACTTGTAGCTTGACCCATCTTGATAAATGAACGCACGAAAAGTGACATTATTATACTTTTCCTTTTGCATTTGTCCTTTTAACGTTATGACACATCCTTTATTCCATCAGACTATTTCAAAAATGGAAATCGAACAATCAAACTTTAAGATAGAAATACGTGCTTGGCTTTGCATTAAAGCAGTATGTTAATTTTCATGAAAATTTTTGAAAATGTATATAAAAGTAAACAAAAAGAGTAATTTACGCATTGCAAACGGCATTTACAATCCACATAAATGACTAAAAAGAGGTCACAGTAAATACTGCAAAATCAGTCATTAATCGCATATGGCATGTTGATTATTACTTGATTCTTGAATCTTTTTACATTTTCTAAATATCTTAATACTTTTTTCTCAAGATTTATTTCCTTGAAATATTTTGGCTCCTCTGGAAGCATGCAACTTTAATAGTGTGCGGTGTAAAGATGCCATTTTTTGGATCTCAAATTATATAGACTGACCAACTATCAGTATAAGAACGAAACAAAAGGTATTTCTGTTTACTATATACGTGTCAGAAACATCACGTAAACTTCTGCCATGCTTCAATCCCTGTTGCCTTCAAATACATCGAGATATCTGTTCAGTTCGCCTGACACGGGGGTCGTGCCTAGCGCCTCTTATGGATTTATAATGTGTTGACACTTCTGTCAAAATTTGAAACGCGCATGGCAGCTATATTAACACGGATAAATCTAATCCTTGGGTAGATAACCTTCATTCACTTGAAACCGAATTAATAAATTTTCTACCTTACCGCGATCCGCTTGTTTGAATGCTTAATGGCAGTAAACACGATATAGGCAGTAATTAAAATATAAATGAAACCAAGTTTCAATATACGATACAGGAACTGTCTCTTCTCCGTGCCCTCGACTAAGATAATGTTACTTAAACAACTTATGGGGTGTTAGGAATGACGAGATAATTCTATTAAGTTATCTATGCGAGGTAAAGATGCCATTTGTCAGACAGATTATAAGAGTAAGTCAATGATCCCGGCACATTGAAGAAATGACATTTTATGAATTGCTGCAATTGTTGAACTATGTAAGGCGTATTTGTATGTGATATGCATGATAAAAGAGCCGATAGCTGTAATTTTCGATTGTCAAAGCAGATAGCATTTTACAGAATTAGCGTATGAGTTTATATAACAACACAAAAACAAAGTTTCCAGTCTATCCCTAAATACATAAATCAATTTGCAGCTTATTTTTTAAAACAAAACAAAAATAATAGAGCTGGGTTAATTTTTATGTTTTCTTTCTTTGATATTTCTTTTTTTATTCCAAACTAAAAAACTACGCTGATTTCGATTACCAAAAAAAAGGGGGAATAAAACGCAACTTATCATACCATGTTTGTTTTTGCATGCTAGATGTGAATTATTTTGTTGATCCGTGCAGTGTTGAAATGAATGGCACGCGCCGAACATTCCTTGCGTATACCCATTCATAACTTTTTTACGTTGTTAACATGTCAAAAATTGACATAAACGAAGTTCCTCACAACAAATCTACTATGTTATCAGAGAGAAGGCGAGTGGTTTTGTTTTACACTAAAATCAACTCAAGTACGTTAACGTGAATGGTATATTGATTTAACTCCTCCAAAATATCCATTGAGAAACGAATATCTCTATCTCAATGTTTGTTATTTTCAATCTAGTTATTGGAAAGTAGGTCTGATAGCATTCCGTTTTTTTATTCAAGACACTAAAGAAAATATAGCAAAATAATTCATCAGATACGAGACATAACGCGATCTGCAACTTCCGTATTTATTGCTGTTACTTCTAAATTTGTTTCCCCTTTTATTTTCGTATAATGTTTCTCCATTGTTTACTTAAATTTGTGTAGTAAATCAAAGTAATTTATGAAACTGTCTTTTGTAAGGTAATTCTGTGCCAAAAGATTTTAAACCAAGTGGTTTAAGATAAATTACATCTACTTTATTACATGCCAATTACATTAACTGTGTCACTGGATGTTATATTTTTATTAATTGTCAAAACAGACAAAAATAATAATAACTAAAGAAAACAACAACAATAAAAACAAATATTAATAATAATAATAAAACATTATATATTACTTAGATTATACCAAATTATTAAACATAAATATTTTTAATTTTTGTATATGTATCATGTAGTTTAATTTTAAAAAAATTGATCATAAAATGATTAAATATGAGAGATATTATAAAATAATAAACCAAGATAAATATAACAAATGGATATCGTAAGTAGTAACAAAACTGGAGAAAAGCAAAATGAAAAAATAAATTCTCCTCAAATTTTAGAAAATATAAGAAAAAAATCATTGAAACAAAATTTCCAATTATTTCATTAGGAACAATATTTCTATGAAATCAAGCATTTTTTTCTCAATGATACAATATCTGATTGTTCAAAATAAAAATAAATATTTACCACAATCTGAAAATTTAAGTCCATATTTGTCTCTTTTCTTTCTCCCCCGTCTACACTGGATTTCCTTCGCAAATATCACTATTGCCACGAATGTCCACAAAATCGTCAAGTAGAAACTTTTCATTATTCACTGTATTTATTTATCAATGAATTCCGTCAGCTATATAAGATTCACCATTGTTAAATATATTCATATCCCCCCTTTTATATATCGAACTTAATTTATTTGTTGTTTTTTTATATATATATTTACTAAAATGCGTTATTTTATTTCATTTCTTTGCTTGAAATATTTTTCAATAATATAACTTTCTTGTCATAAATATATATGTTTTTGTTTCTTTTTTTATTTTATTGCATTGTTCATGATTAAATTATAAATGAACGAACACCTCCTAAAGATCATCATTTTATAGACATATATATATATATATAACCAAACAATTCCCCCCAAAAAACACTGCACGTGGAAAGTCAAAGTTTGACAGATATCATTATTTGTCAGTTTCCAGCATAAGCTAATCTTATACACCTTCGTCCATTAAACAGTTCTAAATCCGAAATTGCAAGGCAAATATTTACGTATATGATTGGCATAGGACCCCACACGTCGCCCTGCCGAGTTTAAACGTCAACTTGAACAGTAGCCTGACATCATTTATACAACTATCGCTTTTATATTAGTTTTCCTTTCACAACATTTGCCGCCTCAAACTGACCAATACACGTACGGTAAACACTGCGTTAAAAGCGGAGGATGGTCAGCTCAAATCTTAAGTTTAAACACATCTTTTCAATAAACCATCTCAATACTTCAAAGATAGAATAACAAAAATCTTTTTGAGCATATAATTGATTCAAAAAGAATTTACGAAAACCATCTCATGGCCGATTTAACAATTTTATTGATATTTTTACACTAAATTAACTTGGAAGTCAACACAAAAAATAAACGTTTTTTTTCTAATTTTATAGTAAAAAAATGAAAATAATAAAAAAATAAAATCGTTAAACAACTGAGTTACTTTCATTAAATATTCAAATTAAAACAGGGCGCTTTTTTCACTATAAAGTATTTTTGAGATAATAATTATAGCATGGGTAAAATAATTACATATTAACTTTTATAAATCGTTCAGCCCTTTAAAACAATGACACGCACGGTAGTGGAAAATAAAAATTTTCATTGGTTCTGAACCTCTGTACGATCAGTGGTCAACTGAACGCTCCCGCTATATTTACTACTGCTGTTTTGAATGAAACGGACCTCACACATCGTTTGGATAGAATTTGTAGCGTAGTAAGTTGAAGATGTATTCTCTTACCGAATGTGTACATAGAGGCTTTCACGCAATTCACATTATCTACGAAATGGTGAACTTGTTTGAATTTGTAGAATCCTTACCTACCTGTTATTAAAGATAATTTTGTATCTTGGGAATAGTTTTGATTAATTGTAGGTTTTGTAATACATGGCAAGCAACAATGTTGGGCATATCCGATATAGTTTATGAGTGTAAAGAATTGATAAGCATTTGAAACATGGTGAGGAGGAATTTGATGGATCAAACATGATGTATTTACCGTACATTATCTCCGCGAGAGTGTTGTTTAAATCAAAACTATTTTATAACATTGATCAAAACGATCCCGACCATGTTGGTATTAAATTGCACTTATAAGTTTACCTTGACCCTGATTTTTTTAAATGACCACCTCAATTAATTTGAATATTGATTCTAACAAATGTGATTTATTGGTTTCTATCTCCGAATCATAACTACGAAACAAGCAGAATTGTCTTGTTCTCCACAAATGTCATGTATAATTGTATTTGTCATAAGTAGGTGCCGAAGCTTCGCTTTCAAGTTCAAATCTAACAAAAACTCATTAAAAAGATATTTAGTTAAAAATCCGCTTTTTATAATATTGTATAAAAGCTGTCTGATCACTTTTATTAAGTGATGGACAGTTTGATCGATGGTGTACATTCAATTGTCGGAGACCCATTATTTCTGAACTTTTTCCAAAAGGACTTCCCACGAAGTTAGTAAATGTTACAGGTGGTTACATACCGAATAAAAGTCACTGCGATCTAAATAAATATATTTGATTATTTCTCCATATGTTTAATTCGGCGAGTTTCATCAAATACAACAGTTACAATACTCTCTAAAATATTCGACAACAGACGAAATTTAAGAGTTAAATATACGTTGTACATTGAAATGGTTTTATATTGGCCGATTTTAACACTTGTGTTAAGGTTTGAATCTGTCCTGTCTAATTGCCTATTGCATTGATTTGTGACTATTTAAGTTATAACTTAGGCGTGTCTGAAATAAAATAAAAAGTAACGAGATCGAAGTAAAGCTTTTTAAGGCTTTTTATTATTGTTTCCATCATATCCAATGAGACTCAATGTTATATGCTTGAAAGTCGTTCGAATGACAGAAATTTTAAACAGTGTTTGAAAATGTGCAATTAAATTCATTATTTGTGATAATAAATTCATTATTTGTGATAATAAACATAACATGATGTTCGAATTTTCACAAACACTTTTATATTTATCAGTGACAAATGAGGTTCAAAAAGCTTGGGTCGCTTGTAAATGCTTTAATATATTTTCTTTTTCAATAAAGCGTTCAGAAAGCATTCATTCAACATGAACATTTCAATGCTAGGAAAGGCCTTCTACACGAAAGAGAAAATGAAAAGCGCGGGTGAGAGAAGAAAAGTTTACATGTCGTTTTACGACCATATTATGACGACTAGAAATGTTTCAATTACCGCCGGGGAAAAACAGGAATATATCAATTTGGATAAAGCTGTCTTAAAACAGTTTAAAAAGTCGGTGTATCTTAATACCCTAGTAGTTTATCACTCTGTGGTCGCCGATACTAATTTTATTGGCAATAAAACTTTAGAAAACCGTGAACACGTTCAATAATCTCCCCTAATCAAACTATAGGATTGCTTCTGATAAAATATGAAAGGTTATCTTTCTAAAAATTAGATTATTCACATATCATTCTATGTAGTCTGGTAGTAAAAGTAAAAACCTCTAAATCATAACTACTAAATTGAGCCTTTCCAATTCAACGCAATTTACTTTTTATTCTTTCAATTATTAATGTTAAACTTTATGGTCCGTGGAAATACAAATGGCGCTTACCAAAAGCTTAAAATATGAAGGAAACATCTACTGGATTGGAAATCGTCTTGTGGGGCCTAGTGATAAAATATAATTTCAATGTAAATCATACTTATAATGAGGTAAGGTGATATGAAATTGCCTTAATTGCCTATGTTCATAAAAACAAGAAAAAAATGAAAATGCATAATAAACTTGATAAGGACACGTGACATTCACATAATGATTTCTAATAAAATGCTACGTTTGAGTGGAATTGCAGTTAAAGAATATTAGACTAAAAGAAATAAAGTGCGAAAAAAGAATTATCAGTTGGAAACACCGCGATTGTGTTATTTGATGCTAAGCAAGAACAATCAACAGACATGATTTCATTTGATAGACGGTTTTTTTTTAAAAAGAAACAATCACTTCAGGATGCACACATTTATTTCAAACTTTCTTGTTACAGATCCATAGACAGAGATAGATGCATAATACAATTTGAAAAATAGAAGATAATGTGTCAGTTTATAACAAAAGACGTTTACACACTGAGATAAGAAAACAATTTATAATATGAATAAATAAGACAAAGTAACGTAGCAGCGATGCTATTGAGAGAGATATATCACAATAATCTATAAATAAAACTATTGTGCTACATAAAACAGTCATCATTTGGATCTGGAAAACAATGTGTCTCCAAACGTAAATATTGCGGGGTAATTTTTACACTAAAAGCAAAACTCTGTTGCGAGAGAAATTATATTAACAATTTTATTTTCTAAATAAAATAAAATCAAATTATAGAGCATTCATGAAATAAGATATCACAATATCATATTAACAGTTTTTTTAACATTAGCACAATCTGTCACCAAATTAAAAAAGACAAAATATAAACGTATGTATAAATAAAGAAACGTACAGATCTTTTTCTTGAATATCATACATTGAAAAAATAATTCACAGTTCATTTGTATTAAAGCTATCAGCAAAGGGTCTTGCATATCTTCTTCTAATTGCTTGTCCTGAACTGAGCTATTCCCTTGCTCATGAGGCTCCCCTTTTCGTGCAAATACAGAGGCGGCCAAACAACGTACTCCATTTCTTTTCCCGACTGTGTGTAGGCCTTAAGATCATCAAGCTTCATGTCAGAAAATTTCATGTCCATTGGTGGATCTTGAATAGCCACGTACCAACATAATTCAGCACATTTCTTGCAGTAGGCTTCGACTGGTTTCAGAGAAACTTCCGTTTCCCATTCTGAACCCTTAAATGTATCTTTCACTTCCGTTAGAACTTTCTGAAACAGTAAAATAAAATCAAAAGGGAAATCATTCTTGACACATAATTGGTTGTATACGTATTTTATAATCTCCCTTGCATTTCTAATAAAGGAATATTACGAGTACTTATGTACATTATGTACATCAAATTTTCTTTTGTATCAGTCAAATTAAAAGTATACAAGATATCAGAGAGTTGCATTTTGATTGAAATTAATTGCATGACCATCCTACAAGATACATGTTTTATTGTATATTGTCCCAGTTGTTTCCCTTTGTCAGTCTGTTTGCCTTGTTTAGATACAAATAAATATTTTAATCAAATGTGTCTTTAGGACTAAAAAACTTAATTTCCACCATTACTGTAAAGCATTCAAGGACATCAATAATGTGCGATTCATGGAAAAGAATTTCAATTGAAAAGGAAATTTGGCTTTACAAAATTACAACTAGTACATAGTTGTTACACACCTCTGATACATATAGCACCGTCTTCTCCGCTAGTATTTTCCTCTCATCCTTGAATCTCTTCATCACATCTAGATTAACACTGACATCTGCCACAGTCTGCAAATAAAATGGTTTTATAAACTTTAAAGATGGCCTTATTCAGCTAATGCAATGCTTTCTAAATAATTCTGTACAGTATATAAACATACTATCATACAAAATGACTGGCAAACACTAAACATTCACTACTATGTTCCGTGTCTTCAACATGAATAAATGTTTATATTCCAACTTGTCACTAGCAGTAGTAAAATTGAATTTGAAAAGGTATATTTCAAAACTAATGGAATACAATATCAAAATGAGAAAATTGAGATAGTATAGAGTGTTGCCAGGCTGCGCAGATTAATAAACATTCCTGGACCAATACTGGTGACAAAAGCTTATCACTTTCGCTTCAACCAGGTAATGTATTAATATGTCGTCATTAGTACTTACTTTTGTATCCGACATATCGGGACATACAAGGAGGTTCTTCATTTTCTGCATTTGTCCATTGGCATGCATCTTGCTCCATCCAAAAGAAATCTTTTCGAAAATAAAACATACAGATATAATTAATGCACTAATATAAACCGCGTCACGACAAAACCAACGTTCACCATGGAACCAGACCAGCCTGCGCATTCGCGCAGTCTGTTTAGGATCCATGCTGTTCGCTTACCAACCCTATTACAAGTAGAGAATCTGATAGCAAACAGCATGGATCCTGATCAGACTGTGCGGATGCGCAGGCTGGTCTGGATCCATTCTGGTCGCAAACCCATTATGTTGGTTTTGTCATGACGTGGCTCATATTGTTTGAAAACGGAACTACAAAAACTACACCAGCAACAAATTTAAAAGCGACAGTAAATATCTAACACGAAAGTACCATTTCACAATGACTATAATCTTTCAAATAAAAAATACAATAGAACTGGAAGTAAGCAAAAGGTAAAAAGAGTAACTGAACATTTTTTACAATTTTTAAGTTTAAAAAAAGGTTATACATGGGTACTCAACAAATGTTTAGTTGTCGTCTTAGTGTCGTTGACATCTTAAATTCAGATAACAACTATTTTATTTACTACAGGCTATAGACCTAGCTTTATCGGAGGTTATAACAAAACCCAGAAGTATATTATGAAATTCGTGGAATTGTAAAAATAGAACACATTAGCAATACTTTGACACAACCTTGGTAGACTTAACATGTTTAAACATTATAGTTGTATTATGTATATCATAACGTGAATGGAATGCATTTTCATTGAATTCAACGTTCAAGTCAATAACGCATGTATTAATCTATTGATTTACATACATGTTTCGGTAACCAGATAGTTTTGACGCTACTATAATAGGTATATAAATAAACAAGACATTCAGAAATGAATTCATGAATATTTAAGTAATGCAATTCCTAGAAATAACAAAACCAGGGGGTACAAGCTTTTATAAATGATCCTCATCAAAACTTTGTTATTTAGATTACTAGATCAAAGAACCCTTTGATACCCTCTTATTTCATTAAACGATATGTGTTTGTGCGGTTAAAGATATAAAAAAGACATAGTGGCGGATATAATTGTAAGCATTACATTTCCTTATTTGTGAAGGAAACGTGTCAAATATAGGAACCAAGTGGCATAAAGAAAACAGTAATAAATGCATTGTATGTTAATTTGATGTACGAATGTCATTAGTCATATTATCTTAACTATCGTTATTATATTTAGAATTATTTTAAACATGTGTGTCCAACTTTGAATTTAAGAAAGGTACATTAAACTACTATAAAAATACAAAAACTAGTAGTGATGTACGGTAAAACATGCCAATAAAGCAATGGATGACGTGTTTATTTCCTTACTTCTAAAATTTGCAATAGCAGGCCGATTTTCTCTTTATCCTCTCCTTTCCGGATACTTTCAAAGGCGCAAGTCCACTCATTATCATACAGTTCAGATAGCTCTTCAGCTAGTTTTGTTGGTCTCTTGACATCATTTAGATTTGCTATGTTCGGATTTCCATCCGTAAGTCTATCCGACATAATCTTGCTTAATCTTGAAAGAGTTAAATATAAGATAGAGATACAGAAGATTTAAACGTTATATGTACAATGTATATGTCATATTTGTGTGCTTCGATACCAAACGATTCGTGTTACAAAATGCATGATAACTATTCACCTTTTAAATAAATGTTACCAGAAAAAACAACACTTTCAATATGGTAGATCAAAAGAAATTTTTGGATGGATTTAAAGTGATCCAAGTGTAAAATAAGCAGAAGCATGCATAATGAATAGGTACAAAATGCGCATTACTTAATATTAGAAACAACAATCTGTCAAGCTACATAACAAACTATTCACATTACCAAAATTATATATTCTGTTGACTAAGGAAATAAACTGATTCAGCCTAGATTGATTCAACTTAACACACATATGAATTTACAAATGTAATAGCATATTTAACTTTTACCTTTGAAGAGCATCTTCCTTTTCTCTTTTCTCTTCATTGTACATGTCTGTGAGTACTTCAACTTTATGTATGGCGCTTTCTTTCTTTCTTCTTTCCTCTTCATAAAAGTCCTTAAACTTCTGTACTTCATCCTCGTTTCCATTTCCATGGCCGCCGCCAAGAATTGATGTGTAACCATTGGGTCGTCTGAAAGGAAATCTATGAGTTTCTGTATTAATGTATACTGAACGGAAATTTAGAAAATAGAACATAATGCAACGATTGCATGTATATTGGTTGTGAGACGTTATATATCTGCAAGTGTCAGGCAAACATAAAATAAGCAAAATGTATTAAACTAACCCATAGCCGTATGAATTATAAATTGCATTGGCTTTTATTAAATAAATCATAACTGTTGTTATTGAATTGATGATGATGATGATGATGATTGTAATATACATGTATATCAAAACGAATTTTATTAAGACAAATGTCTTTTCTGCAGTTTTGTATAGAAATGATTATGAAAATAACTCTTATACATATTATCACACACCCGTGCCGATTTTGCGACTCCGTAAATATGGTATTGCACGGCCGTGCATATATTTTGACGTGACGTCATTAGCGTTATACAAACATAGTGTAAAGACGCGCTAAATGTTAGCGTTATACTATAGGCGCGTCAATGAAAAATGACTCTTATTTCACTTTAAATGGTCTTTATTTTTGGTATGTGATAAATAGAATATTAAATTCGTGTAAGTTCATTACTGAATTTATTGCACTCGTTGAATAAAATAATATTATGCTCGCCAGAGGCTCGCATAATATAATTTTATTCAACTCGTGCAATAAATTCAGTATTGAACTTACACTCATTCAATATCCTCTATTTATTACAAACGTCTTAAATAAACAGTCTCCAAACAAGAAAGGCAGTTACAAAAAGAGCAATTTAATAGTTTATAGTATAATATCTTACCTTCTCAATTTACAAATACAGAAAATGAGCACTCCGCATAACAAAATAACTAGTACACATAATATTCCTATTGCAATGTAAAAGCCATCCGGAGAACACTGATCTGGTAAAAGAGAAACGATCAATATGTAGTTAATGATTTACAAAATATATTTCTAATACATAAATACAGAGATAATTTATGCTTTTAAATAAACCTAAATGTAAAGCATTTCGTTCAACAAATACAAAAGGGACAAATCAAATGAGAATAAAAAATGTTCCTGGTGTGTACAGACTACTTTCCGACTAGTTAAATACTATAAAAATGAGACTCTTATGGTATATATTAAGAATGACAGATATTCCCACTAATCTAATTGACTTTGACAACTGTACTTAATTTCCTTGTACAAAAATGTATACTGTATGCACAAATAATCGTTTTTTTAGAAGTAAACATGTAGATAGTTCATAACAAGTTAACATTAAAACTTTAAATATTTAAAAGATTTTAAATAAAATATTCATGTATCATGGCATGTATTAATAAATTTATCAAAACAAAATGTAAAGCTTACCAGCCATTTTCGTTTTAACCGAAATTGTCGTATTTTACTTCCTGGTTTTGATCGACCACGTATTACGTTGTCATGCTCATTCAGCCGTATAGCATAAAGGCATGTAAAATGTATAGTGTTTAAATCGGTGCATTTTCGAGAAGGGAAAAAAGGAAAATAAAATCCAAACAGATAGTCCACATTAACGTTTGATGCATCAAAGTCATATACATGTACATGTCGGTCGGTCTTTAATGAAACAACAATTCAAATATACGACAAAGATGTTTTTCACTTCTACTGAAAATATAACACAACGACTCTCGTTAGAATGAATGTTCATTCGAAATTTCATTATTCAAGATTGTATGTTTATAGCTTGTATAGATGATAGTGTAAAAGTGATCTCTATAACAATTCTATTTTTAGTTTATACTTACTAAGGGGTAATAAAAAGTTACAGTCAAACGAAATAAATAATAAACCACTTTAATTTAGAGTGAAATATATGTCTAAATTAAGCGATTTATTTAGTTAAGATTTTTTAAAGATTAGTTCGTTGCACTTCTTTTCACTACCGGGTGGCACGTTTGCAAGCATTGATTTGAATAGTCGGATGAGCTGCAGAAAATTGCATCACAATATACGTAGATACCCTCGTGGTTACTCGTGTATTCAAAATCTTGAAAAATAAATCGAGTCTCGTGTGAGGACTGCGAGATAATATGTGTATTCTTATCCATCTCGCACCTGCAAATATATTGAAATATTTGTATAAAAGTGTATTTTATACATATTCTAAGAAAATGTGCGTATTCAAATATAATAAAACACAACTCGCATTCTTGGTTTGCAAACTGCAGCAATGACACTTATTTATCGAATAGAAATGTAACTGTATGCTCCTACTTGTTTATTTATTTTGTTATTTCAGCTGAGCAGTATCTATACTGTCAGTTAATCTTTGCATTTTGAATCTGCTAATATTGCTCAAGCTAACTCATGTCAAAAAATAATTTCATATAAAACATCAAAACATACCCATTCTTTATAATATAGTATCGCATATGCTCTTGAGCATTAGGTGTTGGCTTGGTATAACATGTGTGTACCCTCATCTTGACTGACCAATCTGATGTTTCCGTGAACACCTTCACGTAAACGTCGGATCCGACTGAAACTTGTAAAGGATGTCCTTGTATTTGGTGAAGAAAGTTTGGATCAGTAAAGAACGTCATATTAACAGGATAATGACTGTTTCCAGAAACTTGATGTGCATTACTGTTGCTAGCATCATGATGGAGATGGCCTGATAAACCAAATGAAAGAAACTCAATACATTAAAGACAAGGTGACGAACGAATACACATATAAAATAAATCGAAAATGGTAAAACCGATTGATGATCCCGTTGACGAGGTGCCACAGGTTAATAATATAATAGACTTCAAAGGAAGGCTCTAGGAGGAAAAAAAAGAAACATATATTCTTAGCCTAAATGACTGTTATAGAGAAACTCAGTCTCAAATTCCGACAAAGGGTGGATATCTATGTAAGGTGCTTCCAAGCTATATGTCTTAGTTGTCTAACAATAAACAGGAGCTGGCAAGTAATCATCACGGAATGATTGTAGAAAGACAGACAGTTCAATATTGTCTTAATCATTTATGGGGGCTTACAAAGCGCATGGTCTTACAGAAGACGAAACTAATGAAAATATATGTTTTATGTGTAATCTTTGTTCCATGGAATAAGATTTTCATTTCTTAAATGTTAAAAAAGAAGAAGGCTATATATATATGCGACGACGTCACATTTGCCCTGATGATCATAAGAGAAACCGGTTGGCAAATAATTAAATAAGTTAACTCATGGACTGTGTTTTTTGTTTTATTTATATATATATATATATATATATATATATATATATATATATATATATATATATATATATATATATATATATATATATATATATATATATATATATATATAAAGTATGTTTTGGGAAATGCACAGTACAAAGTTCTTTAATTTTTTATACGTTTATTTCTGTTAGCGCTTTCAAATGTTTCTACATATCTTCAGACAGTAACGTATAATATAAACATAACAAATATAACAATAACGTAACGTTATAAAAGTGCGGGAATATATATATATATATATATATATATATATATATATATATATATATATATATATATATATATATATATATATATATATATATATATATATATGACATAGTAATGAGTTTTTTTAAGTGAATGTATTTAATGATTTACCTGCTGAAGATTCATTTCTTTGAACGTCACATTCAACTTTGATAGTCCAGTTGTAATGCCTAATGATGAAGGGATGGATAGGGTCATGTTCCGCATAGACTAGCTCATTGTTGTATATCAATGCATTGCCTTGTATCTTTAAATCAAAGTTGACAAATTGTTACTAGTATGTTATCCCTTCTTTCAAGAAGGAATTATATGTTAAATTGATAATAATCGAAACCAATTACAGAATCAGATGATGATAAAAATGATCTTATGATAATATATGATTATGTTTCTAACAGGTCTACAGGTTAGACTGTTTTATACTTGCCCAAACGTTTAAGTACATATATGTTTCGGTATATAAATCTCATGTCAGAAGGACAGACATTATTAATCGAAGTAAACTTATGTTCTTGCTTATAAATAAATTCCAATCGTTACATAGATTATCAGAATGATTTTTGAGTCCAACGTGGTTGCAAGGAGGAATTCTGAAATAAAATATTCCTCCAATCCATGAGTTTTTAAGTTACGGTTCTCCTGCTGCCTTTTTGTTAAAATATATGTCATTTGATATAACTTGAAACTTTGTACTGTCAACGTTCGCACCATTGTCTTAGAAGGTCAACTATATTTTTGTGAAGGCCGTAATGTTTCTGACTTACGTAAATTGCGACTGCGCGAGAAATTAAGTTTTCCGGTCAATATTGCATAGCAATTGACCGCGTCGTAAAAAGGTCTATATCTTGCAAGTTTAGTACTTGCAAGTAATAACAAATTCGTTTTAAAATCATAGTTTACAACTTGTGGCAATCTACCGTTTCAGATGTCAGACACTCCCGCAGTCCTTGATTGAAAGTGAGTACATTCCACGAGTAGAGTCCGTTACATGTGTTTTCACCGAGATAAATGTCAGTTGGCTTTGAACCAGGATACACTTGTTTTAGTATGCCCATATCAACCTTTATGTCCCAACCATTGACGTTGCAGCTCACTTTTACAGAATCTTCAAGACGTAGAGCTGTTGAAATATTTCAGTAAGGTTGATTATATAACTGTTTCAACAAACACGATTTTTATACTGTTGCATTTATTGGGTTTAAGGCAAATTGACTATCACGTTCTTTCATTTTACTTTAAATGTATTTTCAGTATTTTTATGGATAAGGAACGTTTGGATGAAGAAAAAAAAACGTGTATAAAGAATTAAAGATCACAAGAGAAGCATTCAAAGTCATTTTATTCAATCCCTTTATTTTAGAAGTCGGACATGTGGCAGTGAAAAGTGTATCACGTATGTAATGTAGATTTATAAGGGCCTAGTATCATTATAAAAGCCATCAGAAACTGATCGATGTAATACTTCAATTTTCAATATCATTTATTTGTCTTAAAATTGATTTCTATATTCTAAGATTCGGTATTGAAACATTTCTGAGCAGCCTTTATCGTCTAACCAACCCTTTTGTGTTGTTATTTCCAAGGGAGTTGACGTAGTTGTATCGACATCAAACGTAAATTGAAAATGCCACGGTAATGTTACGTCGCCATAAGGACTTGCTGGAATAATATATCAAATCTATACATAGCATATAATCTCTGAAAAAAAATGTTCTTAGAAACATATTGAATGATAATCATCTGCAACATTTCCTTAAATTATTTAATTATACAAGTTTCAACAACATCTATTTAGAAAATAAAAGTTGATATTGTAACAGTTGTTTAAAAGATAATTAACAAATATGCTCTTGAAATTTCGTTATTTTATTTAAAAACTGCAAAACATATGCATAAGATAAAACATTGCCCCCGGTCTGCTTCTTAACCGCATGAACTGGATGATATTTAAACATTCATGAGTGGGTTCCTTTGCTCTCGTTGATTGAACAATATTGTATACAAAAGCCCGATCTATTCAGCCAATCAGAAAAGCACGTACGTGAAATGTTCCATTTCTACCAATATCCAGTCTTATCTAATTCCAAAATAACAAATTATGACTTCAAATATATTTACCGTTACAGTCTACTCCAGCATCCCTTGAGTGTCCACAATAACCGTTACCACCCCAGCCATAGAACCTGCACTGTGTGAGATCGTTTTCATAACCTACGCATCCTAAGCTACCAAGCCATATCATGCCTTGCCCCGCACCGAAATATGCATTATGATAAGCTTTGCTATAACTAAACGTGTTCTTTAAATTATAAAAATGTAACACGTGATGTAGATTTGACATTTGATAAAGGAAGGCAATGGTACATCGGAAACAATAGCTATTTTGATAGGCATTTTCAAGTTGTTTGTGTGTGTGTGTGTGTGTGTGTGTGTGTGTGTGTGTGTGTGTGTGTGTGTGTGTGTGTGCGTTGGTGCGTGTGTGCGTGCGTGTGTGCGTGCGTGCGCTAATGTGTGCGCTAATGTGTGCGTGTGTGTGTCTTTTGTTGTTTTTTTGTTTAAAACTATAAAGAGTGAAAACGATTGTCTCGGGTATGTCATAGTTAATGAAGTTTGATAAAGCAAAGGTGTACTAAAGGGGAATATTTTCTCATGTTGAAAAAGAGTTCATTATAAAATGTCGTATGTTTGAAAATAAAAACAATCAAAATTCATGCTAAAATGAAAAAACAAACTTACAAACCGAACTATTTGTCTTGTGTTTAGTTTTAAATTAATGTAATCGTGATATATATTACATACGAGTATGCATAATCGTACATGTATAAGATATTATTGGGAATAGAGTCGTTGTTTTCAAATGTTTGATTTATTAAGTCATTTGAATGAATAAAATCGTTGTTGACAGATCATATACATGTATATGAATTATTGTATGTTTTTTTCTGTGTACATAAACGTGTTTTGACAGACAATACAAATGTATGATCGTATAAAGTCTTCCATACGACTAAAATATGTCTAGATGGAATAACAAAAAAGAACCAATGTTATACTCTGACTCAATTTATTACTTCTTAATTTATTTTTAAAAAATAAGACTTTTTTACAGTTAATTTGATCGCGCGCTTTTTCAGTAAGTTTGATAGAGTTTAAGGGAAATGGAACAAACCTGTCACCCCTATACAGACCAAGCATTCTGCAAATTACCCTGGCATCAAACTTGTCAAAGTAACTGTCACAGACTGTGCCCCATTGACCATTATGGTACACTTCTACACGTCCGGAATATCGTGTTGGTCCATTTCTCAAACGAATTGGTGTCGATGCTTCATAGATAATACGATTGAAAATTGAAAACAGCAGCAACGTCAAGGTTGTTTTCTTTTTTGTAAACATTTACTCAAATTTAAAGGGTCCAAATAAAGTCCAAAAGAAATAAGCCTTTCTTAAACAGTGTAGTTCCTAACTTCATTACAACTTTGCTACAAATGAATGAGATGAAGAGACTATACGTTTGTTTGAATCCCCGAAGGTGTACTATTTAGTGGCCTCATATACAGCTGTCATAGGCGAATTTCAGGTTTAATAAAAAGTACTTTACAATAATGATTAAAAAGCAATTAATAATAGATGGGCAAATTACTTATTGAATAGAAAATGCTACTTGCTGAGCTGATGAAGTATATATATATATATATAATATCTCCTAATTACTTTACAGTACGAGTTCCTGTTAAAACTTCATAACATATGCATTAAGCACAGTCCATAAGTTAACTAATTAATATTTAATGATTTGCCAACCGCTTTCTCTTATGATAATCAGGGCTAAAAATAGACGTCGCATATTCATATATTATCTATTTGATGCTAAACCGTTATGTTTTCCTTTTATATAGACATGTTGCAATATCTTTTTTAAAGTGACAACACTTTCGAGAAATAAGTATTTTCATGTATTTAGATGTATATTGGCTATATGGCAAGATACGCTACACTGATATTCTAAATTAAATGAACTTCAAAAAGACACCAAGAATGAAAATGAATATCTTGGTACAGTTCAAAGACACAGTTTTTGTACAATGACTTTAAATTAATATACTAACTTATCGGTTCCAAATGTATGATTTTACAAAAAAAGAATGAATTAAAAAAAGGGAAAAATATGCTATCAATGTTCTCCAAACTATGTGATAAACGTTGCACCGAGACTTACCATAAGTGGTGCGAAAACTGTGAGATGGAGTTGTTAGCCATGGCAACTTTGTCGAAAAATGTGTGGTCGAAGGATACGTTTTCGACATTAACTTTGCTGTTGTTCTTCCTTTAAGAACAAATATTTGACATAAATTTTATCATTATTATTATTATAATTGTTTTTCAATATTTAGTATAATGCCTTATCGAATCGCAGAGAAATTATATCCAAATAAGATCCAACCAATCTAAATCCACATGAATGATCATTTCTTAATATTTCTTAAATTTCAATTATAGATTTTGCAATAAAGGAATGGACTATGGGATAGTAGGTTCATCATATTCACGAGTTATTTCCATATTTGACGATTCATTATATTGTTTTTAAGAAAATTAAGAATATATATTAAAACGTACCTAATGTTAAATGTGGTATTGTGGTCATTCTCAGTTTTGTATACATTAAAGTGGTTGAATCTGCAACACAAAATGAAAATGTCATCCGAAGTGTATAGCAAAATTATTCAGACCAATTAGATTGGTGTGAACAAACTAAAGCATTACAAAAAGATAAACTGTTTCATTCGTACCACTTAAGACTTCTATAAAATAATTCCCATCAACAAAAAAAAAGTTAAAATGAGACAATTGATGTGCAAAAGTTTACTCTGTTTACCCAGAATAATCATTGTATTCTGCAAATGGACCCAAAACTGAAGAATCATACATACATTTTAAATGAATAATTTGATCTATGTATGAATCTAAAATCCTATGTTTTAAGGCTTTGTAAATTCATTGGACTTTCTTTACGAATAAGAAACATCAACAAATAAGCGCGTACAGTGGAGATAATTTTACAGAGTTTTTAATGAAACAATTCAATCAAAGGCGCTTACTTCGAAAGTGAGCTATATATAATACAAGTAAATTTATCAACTATTCACACAATGTAACATTTAATTTGCTGATAGTCCACTCGCTTAGCTAAATAAGGAGAGCTTCGGATTGGTAATTCAGGGATTGTTGATTTGACAAAAATGTTTTAAAAGCAGAAAAACAAACAAACAATTTTACTGATGTTTCCAAAAAGATACTGAATTTAACACACCTTGACCATAGCAATCTACTCCAGCATCTTCTTGATGTCCACAATTATGGTTGAACCATCCATTTGACCGGCACTGGCCAATATCATTTTCATTACCACTACATTCTAAATTGTCTATTGTAATACAACCGCTCCCACTTCCGTAATGTGCATTAGTCCACGCCTTTGCGTATGTTGTACTGCAATGTATTTCAGAATGTAACAGAGCTATTGTAAGAATCCATTGCTCTTTGTTCTGATATGAACCAAACTGGACTTTGATGTGCCAGAATAGCAAAAGGGTTGCAATTCCGTTTAAGAATAAAGAAATTTTATGGGAATAATTATTTAAAAAACTACTCATTTTTAAACTAAATGTTATCTAAAAAAATGAAATAAATGATAACACATTCTTATACGCATGAACAACTATATGTTATATTCCTACCTGAAGCCAAGCATTCCACAAACAACCTTCGCATCAAAATCATCAAAACTGTCATCACAAACAGTGCCCCAAACACCGCCATGGTAAACTTCTACTCGACCTGAATATCTTGTTGGTCCGTTCACAAGCCGAATGGGTGTTTGTGCCAGCACTAGATGATAAACATGTCAATTTGTATTATGCTCTTACCATGTAAAAGAAAAACGTTCAATCTATATAATTTAGATATGTTTTCGTCATTGTATTTACGGAAAGGTTTAAAAACAGACAAATTTGATAATGTTTGAATATAGTCGAATTTTATGATATCTTTATTTTGGTTCAAGTTTTATGCTTTTTTAATATACTTTAGGAAGGTAGTATGTTTTCCTAACCTCTTGTTATATGATTATACGACCAATCGGTACTTGTCTGTAGATATTGACAGTGTGATGCTGAATATGGCGATCTTGTTATTGCTGGCAAAGAGCAAAATTACAAAGTTTAACAATTTTATTAACCGAACTATTACTTAATTATGTATAACATTTACATATACACAGCTGCCTGGGACTTTAATAAATTACCAATTTATATTTACATATTGAAAGTTATTATCTCATCAGTTAGGGGGTTAAAGAAGGATTTCCAAATTTAAACGTCTACTCGTATTCTGATTTCTTAAATTGTCTAATGTCATTAATAATAATTACTAGAAACGACATATCAGGAAAAAAAGACACAAAGAATGAAAATGAATATCTTGGGTACAATTCCAAGACACAGTTTTTGTGCAATGACGTCAAATTAATATACTAACTTATCGGTTTCAAATGTATGACTTTACGGAAAAAAAGAATAAAGTAAAAAAAAAAGGGAAAATATGCTATCAATGTCCTCCAAACTATGTGATAAACGTTGCACTGAGACTTACCATAAGTGGTGCGAAAACTGTGAGATGGAGTTGTTAGCCATGGCAACTTTGTCGAAAAATGTGTGGTCGAAGGATACGTTTTCGACATTAACTTTGTTGTTGTTCTTCCTTTAAGAACAAATATTTGACATAAATTTTATCATTATTATTATTATAATTGTTTTTCAATGGTTAGTATAATGCCTCATCGAATCGCAGGAAAAGTATATCCAAATAAGATCCAACCAATCTAAATCCACATGAATGATCATTTCATAATATTTCTTAAACTTCAATTATAGGTTTTGCAATAAAGGAATGGAATATGGGATAGTAAGTTCATCATATTCACGAGTTATTTCTAAAGCATTACAAAAAGATAAACTGTTTCATTCGTACCACTTAAGACTTTTATTAAAAAAATTTCCATCAACAAAAAAAGTTTAAATGAGACAACAAATGCTTTGCTCTACGCAGCAAGATTGAAAATGTTGCAGACTCAGTTCATGAAATGCTGTGGTAAATACAAGATATTGCCACGCCACTTTGTAATGACTTAAGAGAAATGCATAATTATGAAATATTTTGTGTACGACATTTGTTTGACATGAAGTGATTTGAAATATGCTTTGTTATATAATATTATGACGACATTTTTATCATTTGGAAAATGTTACAATATGATAAATGATTACTTCATTTAACGATTATTATCATAACTTGTATTAAATAACATTGGTTTTTGTTTTTGTTTTTTTTTTATTTAAAAAGAGAATTACTTGATGCTGTTGGATATGAAGTTGTGGTCGTCCTCCATTGTGTATACTTCATAGTAGGTGAACCTACAAAACAAAGTGAACAGAGTATCCGAAGAGTAATGAAAGCAAATTAAAATTGCCAACTGATAAAGATTGCTGCTGTAAACATGTAAAATCATTATAAATAAATGGGTTACTTTTGTTTTGTATGCCCTGAGACTGCTCATGAAATCCTTTGGATTACAGTGACAAGTATGCGATCCCACCACACCATCTAGCACTAGATCAAGTCAATACATTTTAATTTGTAGAAAATGTGTAATTAAGAAATAAATCAAAAATATGTTAGCAGAGTCAATAATAGTGTCATAAAAACACAATTTCGTATCATTTCGAAACAAAAATGGTCTATAATTCCAATTATTTTTAATGTATTATTAAAACTTCAATCACTCACACAATACAGTAAGCGTTTTAATAAAATTTTCAAATGCTACTAGCTGAGCTGATGAAGTATAAATATATATAATATCTCCTAATTACTTTACAGTACGAGTTCCTGTTAAAACTTCATAACATATTCATAAAGCACAGTCCATAAGTTAACTAATTACTATTTAATGATTTGCAAACCACTTACTCTTATGATAATCAGGGCAAAAAAGACGTCGCATATATTATCATATCATATATTATCTATTTGATGTTAAACCGTTGTTTTCCTTATATAGACATGTTGCATTATCTTTTTTAAACACTTGCGAGGAATAAGTATTTTCATGTATTTAGATGTATTGGCTATATGGTAAGATATGCTACACTGATATTCTAAATTAAATGAACTTCAAAAAGACACCAAGAATGAAAATGAATATCTTGGGTACAATTCAAAGACACAGTTTTTGTGCAATGACGTCAAATTAATATACTAACTTATCGGTTTCAAATGTATGACTTTACGGAAAAAAAGAATAAAGTAAAAAAAGAGGAAAAATATGCTATCAATGTTCTCCAAACTATGTGATAAACGTTGCACCGAGACTTACCATAAGTGGTGCGAAAACTGTGAGATGGAGTTGTTAGCCATGGCAACTTTGTTGTGGTCGAAGGATACGTTTTCGACATTAACTTTGTTGTTGTACTTCCTTTAAGAACAAATATTTGACATAAATTTTATGATTATTATTATTATAATTGTTTTTCAATGGTTAGTATAATGCCTCATCGAATCGCAGGAAAAGTATATCCAAATAAGATCCAACCAATCTAAATCCACATGAATGATCATTTCATAATATTTCTTAAACTTCAATTATAGGTTTTGCAATAAAGGAATGGAATATGGGATAGATAGTTCATCATATTCACGAGTTATTTCTAAAGCATTACTAAAAGACAAACTGTTTCATTCGTACCACTTAAGACTTTTATTAAAAAAAAATTCCATCAACAAAAAAAGTTTAAATGAGACAACAAATGCTTTGCTCTACGCAGCAAGATTTAAAATGTTGCAGACTCAGTTTATGAAATGCTGTGGTAAATACAAGATATTGCCACGCCACTTTGTAATGGCTTAAGAGAAATGCATAATTATGAAATATTTTGTGTACGACATTTGTTTGACATGAAGTGATTTGAAATATGCTTTCGGTACTTGTGTATCATGTAGGTCTTAACTCATTATTGATGTGCAAAAAATTACTCTGTTTACCCAGAATAATCATTGTATTCTGCAAATTGACCCAAAACTGAAGTATCATACATACATTGATGTTTTACTTAACTCTCAGTATATTTTTATATATATTGTATATTGCGCCTGCTCATGAAGCCCTTTAGATTTCAGTGACAAGTATGCGATCCCGCCACACTATCTAGCACAAGCTCAAGTGAATACATTTTAATTCATATTCATAAAAAATGTGTTATTAAAAATAAATCAAAAATGTGTTAGCAGGGTCAATAAAAGTGCCATAAAAAACACAATTTCGTATCATTTCCGAAACAAAAATGGTCTATAGTACCAATTATTTTCTGAAGGTATCATTAAAACTTCAATCATTCACACAATACAGTAAGCGTTTTAATAAAATTTTCACCAAACAATAATCATATGACATGTTATTTGACACAGTGTTACCATAGCAATCCACCCCAGCATCTTCCCCATGTCCACAATTATTGTTGAACCATCCATTTGACCGGCACTGGCCAATATCATGTTCATAGCCATTACATCTCAAATCATCCAACGCTATGCAACCATTTCCGGTACCAAAGTAGGCATTTCCCCTTGCACGAGAATATCCGTTACTGATAAAAAGAAATGATGTGTCTGTAGTAGTTTACAAACAAAATCAAATCACAATGAAAAACTAAGTTTAGTCATTTTTATAACACAAATGAACACATTGTTAAATCAAAATATCTGAGCAAGCAAAACATAGTCTATTCAAGTATAATCATAACCACTGATCAAAATTTTCTTACTAAAGTCCAAGCATCCTGCAAACGACTCTAGCGTCGTCCTCGTCAAAACTGTCGTCGCACACAGTGCCCCAAACACCACCATAATAAACTTCTATGCGCCCTGAATACCGTGTTGGTCCGTTCACAAGTCGAATTGGTGTATGCGCTGAAATAATAATGTTGTCTTATAATCAAGATAGTTATTGTACCCTTAGTAAAACACCGTTGTGTATTGAAAATAAGACTTGGCAGATATATGTCACTATGAACCAGTAATGTTTTAATATAAAAATTTTATTTTAGAATTTGGGGTTTGTTTTGTGTTGAGAGACTAATGAACACGTATTTGAAATTATTACGTCAAAAAAAAATTTAAATAGTAATTGAAATTAGAAATTTATTACATTCTGTTGTAAATCCTTGTTGCTTTGACGTCACACCTAAATATTGGCAGTGGCTGTTCTTGCTTGTGTAGTTTGCAATAATTGTTCTTCTGCTGTTTGCCTGTGTTGCTGAACCTTTATGCATCAATAAAAAAATGAATATAATACAGTTCAACATGAAATGATTTGTATAACTAAAATAGAACGATTTCACCACTGTGAACAGTATTTCAACAATCGATAGCTATATACTAGTTTCAGGTAGATTTAATCTGGATTTTTAACATTTTAAAATTAAAAATTTGGAAAATGTTTATCTATTTCAAGTTAATATATTTATAGCAGAAGATAAACAAAATTATACATAGCTGTTTAACTACTTATACTACAAAAATCAAATTTAAAAAAATTGACAATATCATCACACAATAAAAAATAAACTAGATAATCTCCATAAAACTATGAAATATCATTATTAGTTAATTATCATGTTATTTATTAGGTTTTTCATTGACAGGGCAATATAACTAATCATGACCGATCGATTTACGATCATTTAGTTGAGAATTATCTGAGAAAATGTGTGACAATTATATAACAGCACTTTAAAGATTTTTAAAAGAGGAAAGACTAATTCTGAATCTATACAATTGATCTATATTAAATGTTTTTTCATTCATGTTTTAGTTATTTCTATTGTCAAACAATTAATTACCATATCAATGCATAAAAATGAAAATACTAATCTAGCAGAATTTGAAATGAAATGTTACGAACCGTGTAGTCCATTGATAAAACATATCAATACAAAAACAAAGAACGTGTCCATCTTGATACTTTGTTTGTAATGTGGGCTATCTCAAGATGTTATGATTATTTTCAAATATTATCGTTATATCTGTGTGCATACTGGATCTGAAATAGATAGTAAGATTAACGGGTGTATATAGGTGGATTTAGGCGAACAGGTCTACGTATCAATTAAATAAGCTTCAACTAAACTGTAGTAATGATTCGTTGTCATTGTAACTACATTGTATGCTTAAATATACATATCACATTCCGGCTATATCAAGGCACGATCATAATATTTTGGTTATATAGTTTTAAGTTGTCATAAAAGTTTCAAAATTGATCATTTTCACTATAAGTGTTAACGTATGTAATGGCCGTGGACAAAATTCATATTTTCGTTTGATGTTTGTGCATTAAATGCCTGTAAGATCAATTTTTCTTCAGTTTTTCTCATTCAGACACGTTTATAAAAACAGTGCCTTTTGATAAACAAGAATGCGATACTTTATTCATTCTTTTAAAGGCCCTTTTTCTACAAAAGTTTTTTGAAACCAACATGTACAAAAAAGGTTGTAAATATGATTTTAAATCTAAAAGTTAAATCGATTGCATGATACAAGATTTTTACAGAAGAGATACATTTTCGATAAAGAACATTAGTATAAATTACATCATAAGTGTATCACTAATATTTTTAAAAATGTTTTATTGATATTGAACTTAATGTTAATTAATGTTTGCCTTTGCCTACGTAGTAATCCAAATATTACGTTTTTATCTTTCTTGCAGACGATAATGCGTATTCAATTTTCAGAAAAAGTAAATATATATATTTTTTTTTAAATTGATAACAGTCAATTTCCCCTTCTATATCAGTACTTAACAAATATTGCTGATGTGTAGGAGAACGTTAAATACTTCCTTGAAACTATAAATTGTGTGTACGAGGCCTGATATCGAAAGTATACGGGAACAGCCGATGTTTTACGATTGGTCTGATACATGTTGCAGAACAAATCAGAATGATTGATAAATCATTTAATAAATACTTCCTGTATAAAGCAAAGACAATTGATTGAATATTGAAATATATCATTTTAGACCTTACATGAAATAATTATACTTCTAAGTATTTTTATGTTAGATAAATAGTCTACATTTTTTATGTTTAAAGGTGACCACTTTTCCCCCATTTTATAGGTATAGCATTTGATTCATAAACATTCATGGTACTTCCCTTTACGTCACGACTGTAAATATAGATAACTTGCTTGTAGATATCATCTTATAAACTAGGTTATAACTTAAAGTAAAAAATTGGTTTCTTCATTATTCGTTCAGGTAGAAAATCTATAATATACACTTGAATTTAAATAGTTTAAAGTTGTTCGTAGTAACAAGTGTAATTTACATCCGCGTTGTTAAATAGGAATAAATATTTATCAGTTTACTTAAAGGTAAGTTTATATACTATATTTCTTTTATTTTTTTGTACATATTGAATTCCTATTTGCATTTAGCATCGATTGGTGACTAATTCCTAACTTCGCTTCTTGAAAATGAAAGTAGAAACATATATGGACTGACCTAGGAATGGTAAAACTGAAAAGGTAGTATGACTTTTTTTGATATCACTCTTTCTTTTTGCAGGATGTACACCAAATACAATACGACCTTTTAGTAACGTGCTATGGGAAATTCGAGTAGTTCTAAGCGAAGAAAATGCAGTCCGGGATCCCCACAACATAACAAAGATTCGACACAAACAACTAAAAGAAACAATTGGGTCGAAGACAGAAGCCCTCATCACAGCTTTAGCGGCTCGGTAAGAAATATCTTTGATTTCTGAGTTAATGCATTGTTATGCATTATCTGCGTTATCATAAATTTCATAGATAAATCTGATTTGTATAAATTGTTTCAGAGAGAGGTAAATAGAAGTCTTCAACAGCATATTTGTAACGAGAATGACTTAGAAAAGAGGTAAATATTATCTATGTTTAAACCCTTATTATTTCCTTTACATAAAACAAATAATCTTTCAACGCTGAGCAAGTATTTTCGTGGGATTTAATCACTACTATTAGACTAAAGGTTTGATTTGTTTGTTTGAAAGAATCACATATGAATACTGATTATTTCTAATATCCTGTTGTTTTTTCTAGCTATATTTCTCTAATACAACGTGTATTGTTAAAGACTGAGATAGATTTATATATCTTTTATTTAGTTATAAAACTTAAGTACACTTCATGTATATGTTTGTTTTCAATTTCTAGTTATCACAATGAAAAGGTTGGTAACATAAGTATGTTATATAAGGATGACATTCGGAAAAAAAATGAATCTCAAGAAACCAAAAATCTTCACACTGAAAATAAGATGTTGACGTGAGTATAAATATCAAATAATTGAGTTAAAACGTTAATAAATAGATTTACGTGTTAGCACGTGTAGGGCAACTAATAACCACTTTATATGTCAAGCATCATGCAAATATTATGTGTTCCGTTTCTCTTGTTATGTATGCCTCATTTCAAACAACATTATATATGACTAAAAAATCAAAACCGATATTACTTATTGTAATAATATATATTTGTTAAGGTTGGACAATGACAACCTGAAAAGTGAAAGAAGAGAGCTGATATCAAAACTGGAAGGTCACAAAGAAGAACTTATGCAACATAAAAAGGAAATTGATGATCTTAAAACAAGGTATTAAACACGGCTTATTCAACATGTATGTGTTTGCTAAATGGTTAAAGGGAAATAACTTCTATATTTTTAGTAGACCTATGTAAAACACATCGATTTCATTGCGCACTTTAAAATATTTATGCTTTACACTTTGTTTCCTCTCACTAAGGGTCTCACTTAGATAATTCTAAATTGTTTGATAAACCTTACTAACGACTGTACTTGTATGTGCTAAAATGATGTTCCTACGTTTTTATTTACCTCCAGACTTAGTAAATTGGCTTCTGATAGGCTTACTGACAATAATCCGAATATCACTGATCTTAGCGACGATAATAGAGCCATCAAGGTGGGAGAGAAGTTTATTGAATTGTACAACAATGAGTGGAGTGATGCATTTGAGGAACTGACTGAAGTTTCCAAAATGGAGGAGGTTGAAGCAATTAAATACCTTTTTGATACAATTAAAGTAAGTTAATAAATGTTTAATACAACATGGTAATAAAAACATGAAGTTTGTTACATTAGTTATATAAAGAATAAGTTTCAAATTGAAATAATAAATCAAAATTCATACACATGAACTAGAATAATTAGATTAAAAACCAACATAATATTAAATAATTAAATAGACATGTTTCGCTTTATTAGCTTCATCAGTTGATACATGTACATTACAAAGGAAAATATGTAGTTTTATGTAATTTTTGCATATTTTACCAGGTTATATGTAATGTTTGTGAAATTTAAGCGGCTGAATCGGGAACTTTCTCTGTTTATAAGAAAATCTGTATAATGTATTATAACATTTTCTTAACTTTCAAACAAATCAGCATGCTTCTTCAAAATCAAATTACAATCATTTTCAATTCAAGAATGAAAATTTAGATGTTTAACTTATAACAGCAAGATGAATAGTTCAGTCATAAGATAATGTAATCTTATAACTAGAGTACACCAAATAATAAATTGAAACAACACATGACATGACTACGTTGACTTAACATAATATTGTCAGGAGTACACAAACCTTCAAGCTGTTTCAAGCTTACCATCTTCTTTTAAAAACAGTCAGCAAACTAAAATTGTATTTGTTTATGGTTTGTCAGATAATTTCTTATATAGATAATTTGATTTGTAATCCGAACATAATTGCTGATTTCCAGAAGATATTTGACAAATGCAAGGAAACAGCAGAAGGACATTCTAACAAACTGGAAGAAGCTATTCTTGAGTTCACCGGTAACGAAGAGGTAATAGAAACGAGTCAAAAACAAACCAGAATTTCTTTTTCTCATTATATATTACAAATTGTTCTTATAATCAAATTAATGTCTGTTATAGCTTGTTAATTGATCATTTATTTTCTCAAATCCAAACTTTTTCATATTAAAAAGGATAATATTTATATAAAAGTATACAGTGTAACTTCTTAAAACGGAACACCTGTGGGAGTAGCCAAAAAGTTTGGAATTTTCCAGAATTCAGAATTTTCTGAACAAGTAGGAACATTAAAGATCATGTTTAATTAAGATATGATGAAAAATAAAATGTATATAAATAATATTATTTTACAATTTATAAATAATGTGTCAGTTCAAGCAATCAAAGAAAGACAAGCTTACTTCACAGTATATGCTCGTTCATATTTATTAAGGAAACATAGCAACCAAAAAGAAATCACTTTGGTGAGAATATGTCCACATAGAAATTGGTTTGTTTTACATATGCATAAGCAAATCTTAATTTTTTTGAAGACAACTTCTAGAATTATTTTAGTATTTAAATATTAAAATTGAGAAACCAGCCGTAGGAGTCTGACGGTGCATGCTTTACACTTTTCCAGTATAGGGCACACGTATTCTTTTATTTGAGGACCATACACCGTTTTCCATGTACGGCACAGACGTGTGTCATAGGTTGTTTTCTAAATTTAAAATCTCACCATTACCGTGTTAAAAGGTTGAATTATGCTTAATTGCTTGATTGGGGGCGTGGACTGTAGCTTGCACTTTTCAGTACCGTCCATGAACTTCGAGCCTGTAACGTTTTGGACTTTCTCTAGGGTTTCGTTTTTCTTTATTTTATTCTGGTAACATTTTTAATTGTTGACGCAACTAAAACCTCAAAGACTAAGGTTTTAAGATTTATCATCTCATATGTAACAAAAATATTTTTTTCTTTACCAATGTCCGAATTACGTAATATTCAAATGTTAGTCGTCAATGTAGACTTTGCATTATTTGTTCAGATTCACCCGATGCTGGCCATGTCCCTGAAAGTGTACAAAGATGAACGAAAAAGAATGTTTAGAAATACAGTTCCAAGTACTAAAACGGTTTGTTTATATTCTCCTTATGTAACTTTCTTAAAAAAAAAAACAGAAACATTTTCTTTGTCTATATTATTTGATGGTCAAATTCAATATAGTACAATTACATACAATTAAAACGATATCATTTTCAACATACCGTTCTGCTAAATAATTAAGAATATAAGATATGAATGGAGAATATATCTTTCTGTTTTAGATAATTCAAGCAATTGCTCCTTCGAAAGAAAGAATATTGGGAAAATTGAATATATATGTGGAAGCAGCTACAATAATTTGCTGGTTAATGTGTATTCAGGACCCTCCAATGGTTCTTTATACAACCAAGAAAGGAAAAAAGTTCGACGGAAAGTTTTTCAGTGCATACACTGAACGCGGTAAACGCGTAGCGTTCCCTGTTTGGCCTGCGTTGCTCCTTTGCAATGATGGACCAGTCGTTCAGAAAGGTATAGCACAAGGAAAAAATAAGAAGAAAAGGAATTTGGCGAGCATAAGTCCTTCTGCAACGAACAATAACGAAAAGGCACATACATTGGAGCTAGAAAACAATACTTTGACAACTTTAAATACTGATTATCAGGAGTCAGGCACAGATACTCTCATAAGAGTTTTATCTAAAGATATTCAGGAATTAGACATAAATACACTCACAAGAGTTGTACCTTAGATTTTCCTGGGAACAACAGTACAGTAAACTGAAGAAGCACAATCATAACATTCATCTTTATATTAACAGAATGCATTCATATTATGATTTTGGAATGCGTTGTACTAATCAAATATTACAATTTGATTTTCACTTTCCTAAAATGGAACAATTGACATGCCTTGCTTAAAAAATTAAATTCGGAACTGTAGATTTAATGACAGTTCAGTGACAGTATAAAATAACAAGTTACTGTACAGTGATTTGTCAGACTCCATGAGTTTGAAAACTGTCCTTGCGTAAAACTTAACATGCATTTATATTTATTATTACTTGATAGTAGAATGTTTGTCGTGATCAAGGTAAATGTTATGTGAATATCAACTGTTTGACATCCTTGAAATACGTAGATTATATAAGCAAACATATATTTTGCTAGTAAAAGGAGAAATAAAAAGTCAATTTAAACAGGTTATTTGAATATACATGTAAAACATATCCTATTATATTAACAGACCTGATCAAACTCTGCGAATCTCTTCTAGTATTGATTTCATTTCCATCGAGGGATCTTTCCTTTTTTATTTTTTTTATTTTGTTTTAATTACATTATCAGATAAAGTTATTTGAAAATAATGCATCCCTCAACACAATGTTAAAGAAAATTGAGAACGTTTTGAGAAAAATTACTTGATATATGCCTCTTATAATCAAACTCAAATCACAAAACTTGTGCATATATTCTACTTATGGTAGACCCGATCTTTATCGAGATTTATTTATATTTATGATTGATTTGAATATAGTTGTATTTATGATTGATTTGAATAAGAAGTGTTAATAAAAACTAGTATTCTGTTCAAAAGATTTTGTCTCAGATAAAACATACCCCTTAAATGCTTTTTATTATAAAGTAACGAATTTAGTCATCGTGGGTAATACTCTTTTCATCTTACGTTGTGGTTATAAGGTTCTCCGTTTTATTATATTTTTCTGTTCCTCCGGGATCATTGATGGCAAAACATTTAGTGTCGGGGGATTGAATACTGCATTAATCCGCTATTAGCAGGAAAGATGTAATACTAGTACCTTACATTTATCACTCACGAAAGCTCTCGATCACATCGCGTCTACAATTTTTATCTTTTTAGTTTTGCTTTCATTGCTCTTGACAAATTTTACAGGTTCAATTACACCTTTACTCTTCTCTAGAAACTACACATTATCAATGATAACATATATATATATTCTATACCTAAAGGCATTTAAGAAAAACACGATTTCGAAAAGTGAATCTTAGATAAATGTTAGCATTTTGTTGAATGAAGTTTGGGTATATCGTATATAAAATTTGTAACTTTGGCATGTACAAAACAGATTACTTTTCACATTTGTTTATCCACAGTTTTCTTTCAGATGATTTCTTATTTGTTTAGATATTTGAATAAAACCTTAAATTACAGTTGTATGGCCAATTCTTTGAAGCAAGGAGGTTAAACGGTTTATAGACGTTTTATTTATATTTACCGCTTGCTCGATTGTAAACCATGTGTTTTGCCAAAACAATAAGTGTATTGTTAAATCTATAAATGGTTTTACAGGTATATTGGACTTTAAGCAATATCGATTCAATATAAATCCCATTTAAATTCAAATGACTTGGCTTGAATGTCGTTCAAAACTCTGACAATAAATTAACTTCCTGGTCTGAAACCATACAACTACAAATCGTAAAGACATAACACATATTAATAGTTATCAAGACAAGTTAACAGTAGGATTAAACGTGAACTAGATAGATTGAAAAAAATATCTTTACTTATCTGTTTAATATAAGTGACTTAATAAAAATAATATCGTTAGGTAATACAATTATACGACGAGATATGTATTAAACAGTGTAAACAGAAATAGTAAGAAAGATCGGTGATAATATTGGAAGATTATTTAAAAGTATTGTACAAAAATGGGAGTAGTTGCATCATGTAAACCGTCTAATAAAGCTGTTAAAGACAATGAAACGAGGCCTATTGATGACCAGCAACCAAGACCATGTATATCTGGTATGAAACATGGTATTCCTACAGGCGCGGGAACATCAAATATTAAACAGCATGTTCATTTTCGTGAAGACGACGATAACAACGAATATGACCGATTGTGGGTAAGTGGTAAATAAGACATTTTGTCATATATTTATCATGTCTATTCACGAAATCAAGATTTTATCATGATTTGTGTCGTTTCCTAGTTCGCAATTTATTTTTTAATGGTATCGAGTATTTCGTAGTAGATTTTATACTTTATGCACTTTTTTCAGCCTCATCAACAGAGACAAGGATTTCTACCACCTATTGACGATGAGCAATCACACAATCAGTACGTTCATTTTGAAAATACGATCTTGCACAAACTTTTGCCTTATGTTTGGTTGAATATTGCGGATTTTATCAGAGTATAGAATTAAACACACGTATCATGGTTTGGTAAGTTTTTGTGGAACGTTTTGTTTTTAATGATTAAGTATAGATGCCTTAAAACAACAAGGAAGAGGCTTGATTTTTACCAATGGCCAGGAGAAAAACCTTTTCAAGTTATAGAGTAGAAAAATTAATTAAATTTTATCCTAAATAATCCATTTAATCATTATATATTGCACTCACAGACAGACCAGCAAACGTAACCCAAAGAAACGTAAACCAAATGAACAGAAACTCCGTATAAAAGAACTAGAAGAAGAGATCAGTTCACTACGGTTAGTACAATACAACACTTTGGACTTTACAGTACCGTTTCTGAACAGGCTCAATCAAACCGAGCATGAAACATATTCAATGTAGTCGTTTAGGGGTTCTTTAGGGCTTTTTTAATTTCCCTATTTTGTCAGTTTCGTTCTCATATAGGTTTGATGTCATCTATATCGATACATTTATGATCTTTAAGTATTTTTCTTTACTTTCATGTATACATGCATTTCCTAACAGTGTTTATGTATCTTTAACTATTTAAATATATGTAATATTTATAATAAACTTCGGTTTAAGTTAATTGCATATTTCTCGATACATTGATTTAAACTCGTATATAAATAGAATATTGATTTACCTTCCAACATGTGTATTTTCCATTTGTAGTAAATCGAGTTTTTTAACTGAGTCTTAGAGGTTGGCACCTCAAATTTGACATGCCGTGAATTAAAATTTCTTCAACTTGATTTTTACAAAGGTCTGAAATCACAGGACTGAAAATGCAACACTTTGATGAAATGCAAACTCTTAAACAAGAGGCAGATGACTTAAAACTGAGGTAAATATGGCAACTAGAGGTTCACTATCTGGATTGCAAAATAGTAAAAATAAGGTGAAAAATGTTTACCATTTATGATTTCCTGTAACCAAATTAAAAAAAATACACAAACAGAAAAATATCAGTTCTGTATCACATACTTATTACTTTTAAAAATATGTATTTTACATGAAAATTTAGTTTAGTAAGGTGCTGAATTAAAATGTCAGAAACACCAGCAGAATAGCTTCGTCATTTTGTTGAATACCATGCATTAATGGTCACTTCAGATTGAGCAAGGTGGCGTCTGACAGACTGACAGACAATAACCCAAATATAACAGACCTTAGTGATGAAAATAGAGCTATCAAAGTAGGAGAAAAGTTGTCCGAGCTGTACAGCAATGAGTGGAGTGATGCTTACGAGGAACTAACTGAAGGTGGTCGTAGAAGTGATATAGAAGCTATAAACGTTCTACTTGAGATACTGAAGGTAATTGTGGTACATACATTTTAATTTCTCTGCCTTTTTTGTTATATACATTTGACATAAATACAAACAATACAGAAAAGTTCTCTTGACAGTTGAAACATATAGTCAAAAGAGGGTTTTAAACAAAGCATCTAACATCTGTTCGAAACTTTTATATTTCATCATTACATTTTTATAGTCAGACGAGATAACTGATTCTTAACACTGTGCTCAAGCGATTACATGGAGTGTGAGAGGTGATGCACTTTACAAAATCTCTCATGAAAATACTATTCACATCATGTCAGATTATCTTTCACCGTATTATATGTCGTGAACTTACAGTATGCCTACTTATTTTTAATTATTGGATTTCAGATCATATTTGGAGAATGCAAAAGAAAAGCTGAAGAAGAAATACGTGATATTGGAACGAAAATATTAGCATGTACTGGACATTCGGAGGTAACTTTTTATGAGCTATTAAAAGAAACATATTCTAAAGTGTAAGTTTTTCGGAAGAGGTTGTAAATTTTATGTTTATGATGAAATTGCCACAGACAGAATGACAATACAACACGAATGTATATGTTCATATGCTCAGTTCTTCTAACAAATAAATATTTTAAAAAACATATGCAATCACTAGTAATTTCATTTTCCAACTTGAATTTCATCTCTAGTATTCATTTCTGTTTATTACACGAGAATAATTTTCTTTCTCTCTTGTAATATTGATAATAAATTGTCCTTTGTTTTGTTTTTATTGCAAAAAACAACATTTTTAACGGTATATATACGATTAAACACTCTTGTATTATTATTATTATTCTTATAATTATTATGTTTTTGAAGTTCATATTTATTTCAGTTGAACAAAGAGTTAACTGCGGCAATGAAGCTATTGAGAACAGAACGTAAAAGAAATTTCAAAGCAACAATGCCTTATCTTTTGACGGTAGTGTAAACAATCATTCATTTAAAAGTTAACATTTTTTAATTTCTTTTTGAAACTCAAATTTGAAATACCCAGTCATATTTACGTTTCATACCTTTTGAATATACAGCGAGGTTTAAAATTATAATATCTATCAAATTTTATGTGGCGTCGACATACTGTCTGTAAACCACAAAGCCGTTAATTCTCGGCCAACAGTATGTTTCTTTAAACGTTTTCGGAACTGGTTTGTCCAGGAAGTGGACTCATTTAATGATAATTAAATGCTTCAAAAACGTGCTGCATTAACTTTAAATTTTATTTAATATGTCATGAAACTGATCAACTTTTAACGATATTTATTTTCAGACTTTGGAAATATTTGTACCTAAAGAGGAGGAAACAGTCAAATTGCGAAATTATGTTCGAATCACAACAGAAACATGCTGGTTAATGTGTATACACGAACCACCTTTAACATTTAAATATTGTGAAGACAATAATAAATTCGATGAGAACTATTTTAGCCCATACACAAGAACAGGTGACACTGTAGAGTTCCTTGTTTGGCCCGCTTTACTTCTCCACGATGGTGGACCGCTTTTGAACAAAGGTGTAGCACAAGCAAATGACTCAAAACAAAAAGAACAGAAAGTACAGACAAAACATACAAATGATAATGATAATACTGACTACATTGTTAATGATTCTAATTCCTCCAACGAAACTGAATTGTCTAGAAGAGAAGAAGCTGATGTAACGAGAATTAACGAAGATTTTGTGTCAAAAATAGACACAATTAAACCAGTACCAAAGGCAAGACGAACAAAGGAACATTCTTCTAAAACACACAATGAAAATACAAGAGAAGAATCTTCTTGAATTACATATCTTCACAAAGCTTTTTCTTAAACAGGAATTGACTTACATTGAAACTATTTATGGATTAAAATAATAAAAAAAAATCTGTTACAATGACGGCATGCAGAACGAAATATTAAAAACACAAATGTACATATTTTAACAACCGCCAGTATTTTATATTGTATGTGATATGTGATGGTTGGTGAACTTGATGTACAGAAAGGAAGTTAACATTAACGCCTATTTATTTATTTATTTATTTATTTATTTATTTATTTATTTATTCATTTATTTATTTAAATATACTCACACCTTATATTCGCCTGTGTTATTTGAATGTTTCTGATTCATTTATAAATACCGTGGATTCCTTATGTTCACCTGCGTCATTTGAATGCTACTGATCATTTTATAATTTTAATGGCTACCTTATGTTACCTTGCTTAATTTGAATGGTACTGATTTGAAGCCGGTACTAGCGGGGCATAGACAGTAGTTTGAACTTTCCAGTACTGTCAATGAACAGGCTGAATCAAATCGAGCCTGCAACATTTTCATTAATTTTGCCATGCTAGGCTTTCTTTTGGGATTCTTTTTTTATTATTATAATACATAATGTCTACCTTATGATCGCTGGTACTGATTCTTTAATACATACATTTGCTTAAAATAAAACGTTACTGAACAACTTTTACTGCTCTACACGTGTAAAAGTATTCTACTGCATGTAAAACAGTATAAAGGTGTTTCATATTCATGTATATACAAATGCAGTAAGCAAGTGTATTGCTTGATATCAATAAATTAAACATTTGAATTTAGTTTGTTTGCTTACTACCCTTAATGACCATGACAAAATATGTTTATGTGTAAAACTTGAATGTAACATGTTGTCAATCTTCTTCTTGATATTATCGTCTTTTTATACGCCCCCCCCCCCAAACAAAAATAAGAAAAAATTAAATCGGAGTTTATTGTTATGCACCTGGCTGTCCATCCGTCCCGCTGTCTGTTAGCAATTTCGTGTCAGTTCTGTATCTTTTGAACCGATGGAAGGAAATTGAAACTACTTGGAATAATGATTTTCGTTATGTTTAAATTTCAAAATTGCAAAAACTTATATACAAATGTATTTAACATGAAGAATTACACAGTAAACCTTTACAAAAGAAATATGCATCAAGTGTTAAACTACATTGTCTAAAGCTTGAATAGTTTGCGTACAGCATTGCTTTCTGGACCTCTATAAACCCGATAATTGTCATGACATTGTTCCTTGGTTCAAAATTGGACCCGTCACGGGGGTTCATTTATTTGATAAATACTTATACTGGAAAACACATTTAAGTTTGATTGTGTCAAACTACATTTGTACATTGATTAGACATAAGACATGAATCATTGCTTTGTGATCCTCTACAAAACTGGTATTAATAATGCCCCTTGGAACAATATTGGTTCCTCCACTGGGGAAGTTGATTTGTATAGACTATGTAGGAAAGACATTTATGTCATATTGTGTGAAACTACATATAACATGTAACAATACTGATATTAATAAATCATATATTAACAGAGTCCCGTGGCCATACCGTTGGTGACATGATCAGGAAAACACATAATGTTTGATTGTGTGAAACTACACTATCCAAAACTTAAATATTTGGCATGAAGCATTGTATTTTGGGCCTCCATGAAACTGGAATTGATCATGTCCCTTGAGTCAATATTTGCGGCGCCCGGAGGTCAGTTGATATATATAGACTTTTATAGGGAAACACATTTAAGTCTTATTGTGTGAAACTACAATGCTCAGAATTTACATAATTGGCATGTTACATTGCTTTGTTGATCTATACAAAACTGATGTTAATTAAAAACCTATTGCGTCAATATTTTTCCCTCCCTCGGGCAAAATACGAAAAAATGAAAAAAGATTTGTACATATACATATTAATTCATGATAATTTATTTAAATATGTCCTTGTTCGTGGAACAAATTCTGTGGCAGTAAAGAAATTTGAAAGTATAGATACACTTGTATTAGTGGTCAAGTTCTAATGAGAATCAATGCTTTACACGGAGACCAAACGATCACAAATTATAACTGGAGTAATTTCTCAGGGCTCAGTAGACTTATATAAGTGTCTCTATATAAAGATGATGGACTAAACAACGATTACTAGTAAATACAATTTCAATCAATGCTTTTATTATATGAATAGCCCTAACAAATTTAATAATTATACTTATCAAATGATACTTAGTTTTACATCAAGAATAACTCTTCTTTTATTTAATTAAGATTGTATTTATGATATATTTATATGTGGTCGATTACAATAAACGTAAACGTTTGTATTAAGGACTAAGTCCAGTTTAATGTTTCAAGGCTAAGCCTTGTAGTACTGACCAGAGAAGGTACAGTACCTAACCTAGCTAAAATTGCAAAAGTCAGCTTATTTATACAATTCAGTATTCACTGCAGCAATTTGATTGGTTGACATACATACCATGCAATAAGTATGAAAGATAGTAACTCATAATTATATGTTAACTTAGATTACCGTAAATACCCATCCTATTACACACTTAACATAAGTAAAATTTAAGTTTATATATAATGCGAATGTAAACATTGAAAGTCTTTCCTGGTCAAAACATTTTGTAATGGATTAAATGATTTTGACAATACAATTTTCATTGTGAAGCACATCGATGAACCTTTTCATATAGGTATCAAGTCATTTATCCGGCTTTAATTACAGTCGTTATTTGTCTTGGATGGCTTACCGGAAAAAAATACATTAAACAAATAATGTCACTAAGATTGAAATTAGATAGCCATGATGTGCTGCTTGGGGAAGAAAAATACTTAGATTCCTTTGACCTACAAAAATATTACGTTATAATACGGTACCAGACGGCGAAAATCCAGAACTTGAGTACTCTTCAGCAAGAAAAACATTGGGTAACCGGCAGGTTATTTCTGTAGTTTTAATAATTTTAATACAGCAAATATGGAACTGAACAAGTTAGCCGTTGATCAGCTGGATTTAAAAGACAAAAGAGTTCTTATCAGGTATGCGTGTTGTTAAATACCATTGACAAAGCGCGATTATGCAGTAATTATTGTGTTGACCTTCGTTATTTGGCGACCTTCACCTTTAATGCACAGGCTAAGTAACCCCTAAGTAAGCCTTGAACCTCCATGAAATATAGGGGATAAGAAGCACAGTACATAAGTTAACCTTACCATTATCATTTGCTGAATTGCAGAAAAAAACTCTGAATCCTTCACCCTCTATTTTGACACCTTGATTTTAATAAAAAGAAAAGATATCCAATAAACAGACTAATTCACTAATCACTTAAACAATTAAACATAAAGTTTAAACAGGTCTAGAAAAGTCCTAGATTTACACGTTAGCTATAAAAAATGCACACTATCTATAAAATTATAGAAAATACCATCTATAAAAATATGGATGTGTTCACACAAAATCATGTTTTTCTCGTGTGAATTATGCGTTCTAAGAAATTTGTGTACATTTTCATATATAAAACTTGTCAATCCACTTTGAGTAAGCAACATAGCAAGTTTGGTGGTCTTCAAATGCTGCCTTCGAAAATTCAGGCATTTGATACATTCTTAAGTTCAGGGTAGATGTATTTCACACGAGATAAACATGATTTTGTTAGAACACATCTGTTGTTATATAGATGGTATTATCTATAATTTTACAGATAGTGTGTGTTTTTATAGGTAGTGTGTAAATATAGGACTTTTCTAGACCTGATTAAATCCAAGAATTTTGATGAATAGACACTTGAACAAAATATGTTGAAGACGTTTGTTCTTGTAAAATCTTTTTATTCTCCCATATAATGTTCACCTTTAAATTGGAGATGCATTTGCAGATGTTTCAGTGTTTTTTTTTTTTATATAACTACTACCCTAAAACGGTACCATTCCCAATAGAAAATAGACATTAAAATTCCCAATTTCCAATGGAAAATTCCCAAAATGACTGTTCAAAATGCCCACAAGGCAAAGTGATTTTTCTAAAATCATTTAAATCCAACATATTCATATAAATCACCACTCAATAGTTCTATCTAGACAGTAGAAGCTGTTAGCTATCTTTATTCATGATGTCTAATCTCATTTGTAGCTGAAAAAATGAATTATAAAAAATCCCAATTTTAGTCAAAATAACGCATTTTTTCCCAATCAGTCTGGTACCGGCACCATTCCCAAAGTAGAGAAAAAAAACGCTGTGTTTTTGTTTACTTCTATAGCAGGGGCCGTTATAGGGCTGCTTCCCCAAGAAAAATTCTTTAAAATCATGCAGTTTTCAACAAAATTGAATTTACATCAAGTTTTTTCCTCCCCCTTTTGCAAATATGCCGTGTAATTTATACCCAAAAATCAGGGCAGGGATCAGCGTCCCCGTCTGCGTTGGTTAAAGTTTTTTGTAAAGTCAAATATCTCAATTATTACTTGAGATACTCAATTGAAACTTACAATACTTATTTATAGTAATAAGGTACATCAGATTGACAAGTTGGATAACTCTGCCTACAATATTGACAGAATTATGCCCCTTTTTAACTTAGAAATTTTGGTTAAAGTTTTTTCTAAAGTCAAATATCTCAATTTTTGCTTGAGATATTCAGTTGAAACTTACAATACTTATTTATAGTAACAAGGTACATCAGATTGACAAGTTGGATAACTCTGTCTACAATATTGACAGAATTATGCCCCCTTGGAACTTAGAAATTTTGGTTAAAGTTTTTTTATAAAGTCATATATCTCAATTATTGCTTGAGATATTCAGTTGAAATTTAAAATACTTTTTTATAGTAACAAGGTACATCAGTTTGCAAAATTGCATAACTCTGCCTGCAATATTTGCAGAATTACATGTATTTGCCCCTTTGAAACTTAGAAATTTTGGTTAAAGGTTAAAGGTCTTCAAAGATATTCACTTGAAACTTTACACATGCACTTAGGATCATAAGTGGAGGGTCATAATTGTATGTCACTGACCAAGTTCCATAACTCTATCTTGCATTAAGGCTGATTCATATCCCCTTTTCTACTTAGTCTCTTGGTTAATGTTTACATGCAAGTTTTACATATCTCAATAACTATTAAAGATATTTATTTAAAACTTCACATATGCATTTAGGGTCATAATTGTAGGTCACTGACAAAGATCCATAATTCTATCTTGCATTTAGGCTGATTTTTCTCCCCTTTTTCAACTTAGAAATTCATGGTAAAGTTTTGCTTGTAAGCTGTTATCTCAATAACTACTGAAGGGTTTGTGCCTTTTTTGGGACAATTTTATGCGTTCATAATAATAAAGCAGTGATTTACTTGATAAAACATCTTAATAACAAGCCTTTGTACCTTTTCTGTCAAATTTATGTATTCATAGATAATTAGTATTGTTATACTCAATAAAACACCCTTGTGACATTACCTTCCGAATAGTCAAGCCAATACTGTATAATTAGACTCTGTCTAAGGCCTATAGCATGAATTTATAAAAAAAATTAGCCCTTTTGTGAACTTAAAAAATTTAACATTATCAAGGCTCTTTTACTATCAAGCACTTAGAATAGTCGAGCGTGCTGTCCTACCGACAGCTCTTGTATATACATGTAGTAACCATGCCTTTGTTGTAGGTCAAAGGTCATGGTTCCTCTACTGTGTAATCAGCTTAGAAGGCATTTTTCAGTTTCCATTAACAGTTTCTTTATGATTTATCTCAACATTTTGAAAAATTAATTTGTGAGACTGTCCTACTTAAGTCTCAAGATCTGATTAAGAATCCACTGGTAACTTGTAATATTTCATTTACCTGTAAAGTTATATTTATTTTCAAGTCGGTTAATTATTTGAAAAAAGAGTTTTTCTATCACAACTTCTGTATGTTACATGTAAGTGCGTATAATTTTAGAAATATAATATACCGTTGCGTTGTGACTGTCTTTTTTTAATGAATTTTAATGAAGTATAAATATACAATTTTCTTTGATTTATTACATATATATTTATCATTTTTATGTTTACAGAGTTGATTTCAATGTACCTCTGAAAGATGGGAAGATTACTAATACACAAAGGTAAATTATAGTTTTACCAGAGATCGAAAATTCCACTTGTCTGCTTGTATTAAGGAATAGAATTTAAGAGAACTTGATGCAGGACGTGTAGAAAAATGTTGCCTACACATTTGATTTAGAAGCTACTCGTCCTGCAGGACAAGTGACTTTGAAAATATTTTTCGATGCCTGTTTACCCTTACCATGCTAAATATCTTATATGGGCTTGTTCATCTTTCATTCTTGACATAACCATTCTATGTAATTTTTAGGGAACATTTCTAAAAAAATGCCACGACAAGAATTTAGCACTTACAAAATAAAGAAATGCTAGCAACTTTGTGGTGATATTTTACCCTTTGAATCATGGCAGTAAGCCATTTTAAATTCACTATAGCACATTTCAGCCACTGTGTCATTCTTAGGAAGGCTGTCAAGCAGTTAATCAGTACTAGGGGCCTTCACTTTCACAAGGAACTTTTCAACTTCTGTACATGATGCCAGAGCAAAGGTACATTGCTAATGATAGTAGAAAGGATTTTATGATCAATCACAACAAAAGTGACTTGCATTGTCTGGAAATCAAACCCAGGCCACTGGATACACAGTCTAACACTATACATGTACCTAAATTGAGCTAACCAAACAGTTACATTGCTTAGTATAAACAGTTGCAATGTTATATTACCTGAACAACTAGGTGATGGTTATATAATTGTTAACAACCCGTTTATATATACATGGCCATTTAATATGTTGCAAAATCCTGTAATTGGAGGGAAAAGGAAAATTATGTTAACATACATGTATATTGTTAAACTTTGTTTTATTTCAGAATTGATGCAGCTTTGCCAACTATTAAGTATGCACTGGATCAGGGAGCAAAATCAGTGGTATTGATGAGTCATTTAGGCAGACCAGATGGACGAAGACAGGATAAATACACAATGGCACCTGTCAAACCACAACTTGATGCCAAGCTTGGAAGGTATAACAAATATACATCTTCTTTTAATGACTTCATACAGAGATTGCATATCAGGTGCTTCAAGTGACATTATGCACATCCAATGGCATATACTGAGTGAACAAGCGACAGTCAAAATAGGTTTACATTCTGCCATAATTCCTTTTTCAATCGCCTTAGCTATAAAACATTTTCCAGTATCAGCTGTTGGTTATTCACCATTTAAAATAAAAGTCAATCTTTAGCAATATAGTCAGGTCAACTTGACAATGAAAAAATGAGCATAATGTCACTGAAAGAACTGAACTTTATCAGTCTTTATCTATCTTCACTTTATCAGAATTAATACACTTACATGTATTTTAATGTGAAGGAGTTCTGTAGTTGACTGGTAAAGGAAACTCAGGGTGAATCACTACTTACCTCCTTGCTGGTTTGAATCCCACTAGGAACTGTTTGTTTGAATACCACTAGGACCTTAGAATTCTGGGAGAAATCTATTTAACTTTACAGTACTTTTTGTTAACCTCTTTGTGCCTGAAATAATGCACAGAATGGCAACTGAGGTCTTCCTCTTCCACCAGTTAAGCTGGAAGTTTCATTATAACCTTAATTGGTTGATATGAGCTAAATGCCAGCTCTTGATAGATTTTATCGTATTGAATTCTCTGAGAAAACTTTTTGCCTGAGTTCAATCCAAAACTGTGATTGATTACTTAAAGGAAGTAAACTTACATTCTAAGATTTAAGTAACTCACTTGTTTCAACCCATTTTAGGCCTACTTATTATAGTGTTCTGCGCAGTATGACCAGTAATGTGTCAATTTTGTTAAACTCAGACAAACAAAAATAAAGAAAAAAGGTTATATTCATTAAGGGATTATTACTGGGAAATATTGAAGTTTATCTTATTTCTTGTATTATACAGGAACGTGACATTTTTATCTGACTGTGTTGGGCCTGAAGTGGAAGCAGCCTGTGCTAGCCCCGCACCTGGTTCCGTGATTCTGTTAGAGAATCTACGTTTTCACAGAGAGGAAGAAGGCAAAGGTGTTGATGTTAAAGGAGAGAAGGTACATGTATAAATGTATATGTGTACATTACTTTGAAATATTTCCATCTTCTTGACATACAAGGTATTCCCTTCAGTGTTTGTTCCTGTACATACAGGTTTCAGTAAAATTTTGTTTTGTTTCCCAATCCAACTACCTACCCACAAAAATCTGTGCTAATTGCAAAAAAATTAAATAATTTTTTCCTGCTTAACATTAGAAGTACATGTATTCCGTCTTTGAGAATCACATCTTGTATCTGTTTATTATACAAACCTTGGTTCTTTAAACAAATGCTAAATATTCACACGCTTTTTGAAATCCATAATACATTTGTAATTATGTTCAATAAAAAAAAATTTCAATGGTAAAAAGTTTTCTGCCTACCCTATCCAAACTGCCAAGGGTCGCAGAAGGGGAAACTTTTAAGACTGGTTACGGTTATTTATCAAGTATAGGTTGTATTTAAATATGTTGACAACTTTTTCTAAAACAGCAGTGTTTTCCCAAAAAAATAGACTTTTTGTGTGAGGTGGACACTAAGATAAGTTTCATGTACGAATTCATAGAAAAGGTGTCTAAAATTAAACTCTCATTACTACCCTGGCACCATTTAGATTTTCAAATTATCAACTTCATCATTTAATTTAAATGTTTATTTGTCACTAAAATTGAAACAGTGTGAAGATCATAAATGTAGCTTTTTTCCTGTGCTATCAATTGGTCTTGCTATTGAAACATCAAATCAAACGTAAATTGTTCATTTTATAGGTAAAAGCTTCTGCCGCTGATGTTGAAAAGTTCCGAGCATCTTTGTCAAAATTAGGAGATGTTTATGTCAATGATGCATTCGGCACTGCTCACAGAGCTCATAGGTAATCAATGTTTATACTTGTATATTACATATAATAATTGTATTTTTAGCTCGACTATTCGATAAGAATAAGTAGAGCTATTGCAGTCACCTGAGTGTCTGCGTCGGCGTAACCACTTATGTTAAAGTTTTTGTAATAGTTCAAATATTTTCAAAGTCCATTGACATATGGCTTTAATACTTTGCACACTTGTTCACCATCATGACCCCAACTTGTAGACAGGAGGAGGTAACTCTATCAATCATTTTGACAGAATTATGCCCCTTTTTCGACTTAGAATTTACGTTAAAGTTTTTGTAATACCTCAAATATTTTCAAAGTTCATTGACATATGGCTTTGAAACTTTGCACACTTGTTCACCATCATTACCCCAACCTGTAAACAGGAGGCGGTAACTGTATCAAGCATTTTTTTTTACTATCAAGCACTTAGAATAGTCGAGCATTGCTGTCCTACCGACAGTTCTTGTTAAAAATTTTTAGTGTAACATGAGGTTTAGTTAATACTAATTTATATTAGTTTGAATGTGTTGGAAGCTATAAGTTTATTGAAACACTCTCGAATTTGTTCCTAGAACCAACCAGTTCTAAGCTATGAGTTAAAGATTCTTGCTCACCAAAGCAACGGCTTTAAACCCACAAGGTTTATACCCACAGGATTTATTGATACTGTGAATTATTCACAATATTTTGGAAAAAAATGAAAATTTACATGTTAGGCACTGCTCCCAATGTTAGTCCTGTTTAAAGAGAGAGAGAAAATACTGTGATGTTTGGAATGCTAGCCAGCAATAATGATTTGCTTATATAAGCAGAATGATGTCAGACCTGGCAGCTTATTTTTGGCACTTTTATAACAAAAATGCCTCACTTTAACAATTGACAGTTCTGAACAAGTTTATTTTTTTGTAAAACTCAAGCATTGTAAGAATTGAATCTGAAGTGACAAAACATAATGTTTGAATCTTGCAAAGAATAGAAAAAGGTAATGAAACTAGGTTTCCTGTTTCAATAATTTGTTTCAGTGAACATTAGCATAAGTTAAACAACTTGAAGATTTTTAAAGTCTGTTCTTTACGTATACCAGCACGTGTCAAAAGTATTTAGACAAGCCCAACATTTTGTATTTTGATATTTTTTCAGTTCAATGGTCGGATGCCAGCTACCCCAGCGGGCTTCAGGATATCTATTGAAGAAAGAATTAACATATTTCTCAAAAGCTTTAGACAACCCAAATAAACCATTCCTTGCCATACTTGGAGGGTAAGAACTGTTTGTGTGACAAGTTTGCCTTTTATTACATTGCTTTCATGTTGAATAATTTTACGAGTGGTGTCATGTTTATCCACTTAAGTGGGTTTAGTCGGTTTTTAGCCAAAATTTGTTTGAAAATTAAATAAATGCTAACCGAGGTTAGTATTTGACAAACATCTGAAAAAATTTGAGATTGATATTAGTCAAAATATTATAACTCATGTATGTTCATTAATCACTTTAGAACTGTATCAACAATTTGCTTTCCATAATTATTTCGTTAGAATATCCAAGTGATTTATTTATAACGTTTTCATTAATATTTGAATTATGTATGGAAATTATGCCAATTTTAGACCATTCCACTATATAATTGATTGCATCAATATTTAAAAACTTATCATTATTCCTTCATCTAAATGGAAAATGTGTCCATTGTAGAGCAACCCACTTTAAACAATGACAAACCAGTGACCACCTTTATTGTAACGTGATATTTTATGTTTACAGAGCTAAGGTGGCTGATAAGATACAGTTAATTGAGAACTTGCTAGATAAAGTTACAGACATGATTATTGGTGGAGGAATGGCATTCACTTTCCTTAAAGTCTTGAATGGCATGAAGGTAAGAAATTGTTCCAGGCAGCACACTAATGTTCCATTGGTACCAGGCAGCAAACTAATATAAGAATGGTTCCAGGCATCAAATTTATGTAAAAATGTTACGGGATGGCAAAATAATATAAGAATGGTACCAAACATCACACAAACCATAAGGGTATATTCAGGCACCAAGCTTACCTAATTGTTGTACCAAGCTCTAATGTTCAAATGGTGCCAGGCATTAAACTTATGTAAGAATGGTACCAGGCACCACACAAATGAAATAATGGTGCTAACATGACTACTTCTCACTTGTTTGATTTTCTAGAAAAAGTAAATTCATGACTTCTTTATAGAGTTAAAAGATTTGCATATATGAAATACATCTACATTAAACACAATGAAGATCTGTTATTTTAATTTCAGATCGGGAATTCTTTATATGACGAGGAGGGGGCTAAAATTGTAAATAAACTTATGGAAAAAGCCGAGAAAAAAGGTGTCAAGATTTATCTTCCAGTGGATGTAGTGACTGGAGATAAGTTTGCTGAAGACGCAACTGTCGGCAGTGCTACTGTGGCGTCTGGTATTCCTGATAATTCAATGGTAAGTTATTTGTATCTAGGAATACTTTATGAATGTGGTTCTGTAATTGTTAAATCATAATGTATACTGTATTATACAGGTTACATGGGACGGCAGTGGCTTAGTGATTATGCCCCCATTTCGAAGAAAAGGGGGTATATTGCTTTGCACTTGTCGGTCCGTCGGTCCGTCGGTCCTTAGACCAAATGGTTTCCGAGTGATAACTAAAGAACCCTTAGGCCTAGGAACTTCAAACTTGGTATGGTGATTGGTCATGACCAGTAGATGACCCCTATTGATTTTGGGGTCAAGGGGTCAAAGGTCAAGGTCACATTGACCTTGTAAGCAAAAACGGTTTCCGATCAATAACTAAAGAACCTTAAGGCCTAGGAACTTCAAACTTGGTATGGTTATTGGTCATGACCAGTAGATGACCCCTATTGATTTTGGGGTCAAGGGGTCAAAGGTCAAGGTCACATTGACCTTGTAAGCAAAAACGGTTTCTGATCAATAACTTAAGAACCTTAAGGCCTAGGAACTTCAAACTTGATATGGTGATTGGTCATGATCAGTAGATGATCCCTATTGATTTTGGGGTCAATGGGTCAAAGGTCAAGGTCACATTGACCTTGTAAGCAAAAATGGTTTCCGAACAATAACTAAAGAACTTTAAGGCCTAGGAACTTCAAACTTGGTATGGTGATTGGTCATGATCAGTAGATGACCCCTATTGAATTTGGAGTCAAGGGGTCAAAGGTCAAGGTCACATTGACCTTGTAAGCAATAACGGTTTCCGATCAATAACTAAAGAACTTTAAGGCCTAGGAACTTCAAACTTGGTATGGTGATTGGTCATGATCAGTAGATGACCCCTATTGATTTTAGGGTCAAGGGGTCAAAGGTCAAGGTCACATTGACCTCTTGGTAAAAAACGGTTTCTGATCAATAACAAAAGAACCCTTAGGCCTAGGAACTTCAAACTTGGTATGGTGATTGGTCATGACCAGCAGATGACCCCTATTGATTTTGGGGTTAAGGGGTCAAAGATCAAGGTCACATTGACCTTGTAGGTAAAAACGATTTCCGATCAATAACAACAGAACCCGTAGGCCTAGGAACTTCAAACTTGGTATGGTGATTGGTCATGACCAGCAGATGACCCCTATTGATTTTGGGGTTAAGGGGTAAAAGGTCAAGGTCACATTGACTTTGTAGGTAAAAACAGTTTCCGATCAATAATGAAAGAACCCTTAGGCCTAGGGACTTCAAACTTGATATGGTGATTGGTCATGATCAGTAGATGACCCCTATTGATTTTGGGGTCAAGGGGTCAAAGGTCAAGGTCACATTGACCTCTTAGGTAAAAACGGTTTCCGATCAATAACTAAAGAACCCTTAGGCCTAGGAACTTCAAACTTGGTATGATGATTGGTCATGACCAGTAGATGACCCCTATTGATATTGGGGTTAAGGGGTCAAAGGGCAAGGTCACATTGACCTTGTAGGTAAAAATGCTTTCAAATCAATAACTTAAGAACACTTTGGCCTAGGAACTTCAAACATGGTATGGTGATTGGTCATGACCAGCAGATGACCTATTGATTTTGGGGTCAAGGGGTCAAAGGTCAAGGTCACATTGACCTTGTATGTTAAAACGGTTTCCAATCAATTAACTAAAAATGCTTAGGCCTAGGAACTTCAAACTTTGTATGATTGGTCGTGACCAGCAGATGACCCCTATTGAGTTTTGGGTCAAGGGGTCAAAGGTTAAGGTCATGACCAGTAGATACTTGATAACCCTTATTAATTGTTTGATCACTGGGTCAGAAGTAATGCATAATAACCTTATCACATGACTAATTGGCTGCTGATAGGGGGCATACATGTTTTACAAACATATCTTGTTAAAGTATGACTTTCAATCTCTTGCCTCTCACATCTATGGGTTAAAATCCCACCAGGACATTTTGATTTTTCCTGTGAGGAAGCTATCCTTCTGGATTATTGAAGACTTAACTGCTTTTGTCTGAAATTGTGCATGGAGGGGCAAATTGTTTATTCCTTTACCAGTAAAATCTTGAATGTTACCATATTCTGAATGACTTGTGCAGTATAAACTATTGCTTTTGAGACCTTTTGTTCTCACTGCACTGTAATCTCAAATTGAACAATTTTGTGGTAAATGTTTTAAGGTACTCTGAAGTTCAGGTTTTTAAATCTCATATCAGCACTTTCTTTTTTTTTATAAACCAACAAAAAAAATGATCGACTTAGGGTTTTCAGGAGTTTTTTTTGTTGACATTTACATATATTTTGTTTCTTCTGAATGACGGTATATTATTTTGTTGCTGTAAAAGGATATACTAAAATGGCTGAATTGGTTGCATCATGATCAAGTAAAGTTAAGTACATATTAAAAGACCTTTTTATCCTATAATTTACAGGGTCTTGACATTGGACCAGAATCTATCAAGTTATTTACAGCTGCCGTAACAACAGCAAAGACAATAGTCTGGAATGGGTATGTGATTTAAGAATATAGTTTCATATTATTTAGTCAGGTTTATTTCATTTTGCTAAACATAACTTAAAGACATAGGCATTATTTTTTATTAGAATACAAGATTATGCCTATATCCATTGTGCTAAAAACTTTTGATTTGGGGATGTCTATGACTTTAGCCATTATGCATTACTGCATTGAACCTTTTCTATAGTGATTAAAAATCCTGCAGTGGCCAAATTACATTATGAGCTAGTTTTCAGAATGTTTTTCCCCCATGCATTCTTTTTGCGAGCAAGTAGCTATATTTTAAATTGGGGAACCTTTGGAGAAATAATCAAGACAATTGATTAATTAGAATAATTAAGCTGTTTATGACACTATTGATAAATAGAACTTTTCTAGGCTGTGGTCTAGAGATGCATGCTCCGGCATTGATTGAGAAATTTTGTATTCTTGTTCACTGCTTATCTCTCTGGATGCTGTTGGCCATAATATCATTGATCTTTCTGACTATGACACAATATACCTCAAGACAAGAGCTTTATTTATATATTTGACCTTGACCTCTTAATGGCCTTGACCTTAAAGGTTAAATTTTCAAAATTCAGGTACTTTTCACATATTTAAACAGATATAGAAATGAAGCATTTTGCTTTACTAAATAAACATCAATAATTCTTGTGTGTGTATGTTATGAAATTGATGGAATTTGTTGCTCGCTATTTCAGACCTCCAGGTGTGTTTGAGTTCCCAAACTTTGCTAAAGGAACCATTGCTTTGATGGATGCAGTTGTACAAGCTACACAAAATGGTGCAACTACCATCATTGGTAAGGGATCACAATGTTTACCAGTTCATATTATCACAATTTAGAGATTCTTGCAGTTTTATATCTCTGTAGTGCATGTCAATGTTTTTACCAACAACTTTCTAACTCGATAGACTGATTAAGAATATTTTGAGTTTTTCCCAGTTGATCCAAGGGTACAAACAAACTTTTAAAGTTTAGCACAACTGGTTGACTAATCTATTGTGAGTGCACCATGAAGTTACAAAGGTAACATGGTGTTTGTACTGGGGGATTAACTTGGATAAATCGACATTTGCCAAGTTCCGGATAACATCTATTGAAATGGATGATTGATATGAATTCTGCATGTATGAGCTTTCTGAACTAAACATTTTGCAAATTTATTTTTGTTAACATTATATCTTTGCTATCATCATCATGTTCACATCTTCTAGTTTAAAATGTATAGAAACCTTGAGGGATGTTTCCAAGGTAACAGAGTTTAAGTTGATGGCTTTCAGTCATTCACTATCCAAATTTTATGCATTAGGATACTGATTGTGATGAGGGATGCTGTCCATTAAGAAATCTATTAAAATTTTGTAATCTGTACTAAACTAAGATTTCTACCCATCAAAAAGAATATCTTGTGTCTTCCCCTATTAAAATATCATTATTTCGCCTGAAATATATTGTGTCTTCGTGTTGGTTCAGTGAGCATATTATCGTGTCTTCTCCTTCGACTTTTGAGGGGCAAAGACACAAAATGGCAGAAATCAGCCACCATACATCTTTGCAGTTTGCCAAGCTCTGTCTCATGGAGGGTAAAGTTGAACTTCTTTGATCTTATGTTGGACTGTTCCAAATTCAAAGCTGGTCAGGTCCATTACCCAAATCGAGTAGGGTATGTGATAAGTAAGAGAAAAATAAATTGAAGAAAGACTTTATGAAATCCCTAAATCTTGCAATGGACTTTTCCAACTTCAAAGGAGGACAGGTCCATTATTCAAATTTAGGACAGTTCGGGTAAAACAACAGGGAGTAAAGCAATTTGTACACTATGTTATAATTTAATTACAGGTGGTGGGGATACAGCGACATGTTGTGCTAAATATAACACAGAAGATAAAGTCAGCCATGTCAGTACAGGAGGCGGAGCTAGTCTTGAACTCTTGGAAGGTTTGCTATCAATATCATTTTTACATTGTAACTAGGGGCGTCCATTGCCGAGTGGTTCACGGAGGGGCACCGGAGGTCTTCTTCCACCTGTAAAGCTGGAAAGTTTCCATATGACCTCTACTGTGTTGATGCAATGTAAAACCCAATAAAAAATATATTTTAACTTTTCTATGCAGCTGATGTGAATTTATTAAATAAATAAGGTCTATTCTTCATATTGAGAGATGTAAGTCATTCATAAGTACTGTGCAATTTCCGCAGAGTGACCCTCTTTGTCAAGGAAGGTTTTCAGTGAGCTTTTGGAAGATTGATGGGTCCAATCAGACCGCTTGTAACTGTACCCATTGGCACCAAAGGTATTCATCCACCAGTAAAGTTATAAAATTAACAGTTCAAAATGTTGCTATATTTAAGAAAAAAGAAATTCTCTAATGACTGATTTTGTGTGATGAAAAATAAACATGTAAACATAACAAGACTAAATGGATATAAATGAAAATATATTAAATTAAAAATATGTTCTTTTTATTTTTAGGTAAAATTTTACCAGGTGTTGCAGCACTGTCCCCAGCCTCGTAAGCATATCCTGTCGGTATCCTGAGAAGTGGAATTTGATGTCAACAACAGGCACTAGATTTACACAATTTACATGTTTCTGTTGTACCGTCATTATAAGTCATCCTTTATTCTGATGTTGAAGTATGTTAGGGAATGGTTTTATATTCCAATCTGGTGTAACTATTGCGAGATTAAATTATTTGGAAAATTTGATAAAATATATGCGGAAAATAATGTGCGTAAATTTGTGATGGATATTATAAATACGGAAACTATCGAAACTTTGATTTATGGATCCTAAAACAGTACCTAGTTTAAATTTGATTAGTTTTCTCACTTTTGCTTTTTATCCTTGTCCAAGTGGTAAAATTAGGTATATTTTTGTTATTTATGTGTACTGAGCTGTAAATCCAACATAGAATTTCCTGAAATGAGTTACAATGCAACTCTGCCATAATTTCTATAGATTAATGTTTATTGTGATGGTGATCTTGGATTTTGCAACCTGTTTCTATAATAGAATCTCTAAAGTGCAGTAGTTGCTACCGTCATGTGTCAATAGGAAATGGAGAATATGTACAAAATCTGCAAACAGTTTATACCTGAACAATAAATATAGATGCCGTGTCTAGAGGTGATGTTTATGGTATTTCAATGATGACTTCAACTTACGCATCAAAGTGCTATCTCTATACACTGACCCTGTTATATGTAGTATAAATTTTTCTTCTGTTTTAGGTATTTATGAAGAGTTTGTTATAGATAATGTCTATTAAATTGTATCAGATGCTTAGTCAGCTATTTTTCTTTTATTTACAATTTACATGTCAGATAATGTCCAGAACATTTCCAAACTTGTATTAATGATAATAAAAATGTATCAGTTACGAGACCATAATCCATTTGGGGGCTCTTTACCGTTATCATTTTTTTAATTTTCAAAATCCTATTTATTACGGTAACGTTGTAGTTTTATGACATTGATAGTACTTTGTCTTGCTTATTATAGAGAAGAATCTAACATGTCTATCCTTTTTCACACATTATAGCTTCTTTTTTTTTTCAGAATTGGCATTACCAAAATTAAATGAATCTCACAATTCTAAGTTCTTTTTCACATGTTTCAGTCATTTTATTTGATTTCTTTGCAAATTCAAGATGGCTGCTAAGGTTCAAACACCTTCAGAGGCATGCCATTTTTTCCATGTTGAAAAAACTTTGCACTCATTTCTTAGTACTTGTTGATTACAGGAAGGGATTTGAGATTTGGACTGTAAACTTATAGTTTCCTACACTATTAAACTAAAAAAAATTCTGTATATTTGAAACTTTAGATGGCAGTAAATCTTAGGTATCATGTGAAATGTGAACTTGTGAGAACTTGGTCTCTCAAATATAGATTTATTAGTGATTATTCCTGAATTTCAGGATTTTTATACTCCCAAAAGCCATGTTTGCCCATATAAAACTTCTTAAAAAAATTCAGGATCTTTTATAATTGGCAACTTTTACCCATGTGGGGACAGGCTTAGGAAAGTGATATTTACTATCTATCTTTGCTTTCCTTAGTTCACGATGCAATAATGAAAATGCACAGGAGTTTCTGCTTATATCAGCTATGGACTTTATTTTGAGACTATTAACAGAGGGGTGTTTCTCTGTAAGGATGATGAATATCAATCAAATCAGTATAAGGGTGGTGCCCATGTGTAACATGGTACTTAAGATTCTGTAAGTTTCTAAGAATGAAAATGACTTTTCATTGACTTATTGAACAAGTATTGACTACTGTCTCTTTACTTAAAGGTACATGTCTTTATCAAAGATGAGTCAATAATCAAAAGCAAAAACATTTAGGTCAGTCTGCCATATTTATAGGTGGCACTATAATTATGCAAATTAACACTATATCTTACTGCATTATATGCATGGATGTGGTACCTTCAGGGTAATAATTATTAATATAACTAAGGTTTTCAAATTTATAAGTCTGATAGTCAGGAATGCTTGTCTGATAGTACAGGCTCTATACTGAGAACAAATTCCTGATCACTTTCAATTCCAACAAGGTAAGTGTTAAAAGAACTGCAGGTCACAAAGCCGAAAAACATTAAATTTGAAATTCTTATATAGATGAAGTGAAGGACTTAAAATTGAAAAATCTGCAAAGGATAATAAAGAAAAATATTCAAAATTAGATTAATATCAGGTTTATGCAATTCATAGTCCGATTTGAGCAATAAGCGTTGCAACACTTTTCATTTTTTGGCCATTTTGCATAATAATTTTTCTGGAAAAACTGGGATGAGGGAATGATCTGAAAATTTTCACCCTAAGTTATTGGTCCAGACCTACATCAAATAGTGCACAAATTTTGGTCCTGTCATCACAAAAAAGTCTCTTTAAAGAAATTTAAAATCAAAAGACTCGTAAAGTAACCAATAGTAAAAATCTAGATCTGAAGGGCATGGAAGCACAGGCTGGCTTAGCTCTATATTGGTGGCAAAGGTAGATGATTATAGATGTTTATTAACCCTTACTCCACTAAATATCTTAAATGGACTTGACTATCTTTTAATCTGGACAAAACCATTCATGATTTTTAGGGAAAATGACAAAATAAATACTGACTGAATAGTAGACAGTGCAGAACATGATAAGACAGCCAGACATGTTGGCTTATGTTAGTCTGCACTGGTTACATTTACATTAACAAATAGAAAAATAATATTTTGATAAAAAGGTCATGAAAATTTACTTACAACAAACAAGATTTTGCATTTCATTGCCTTTCATACCAACAATGATTCATGGCAGTATGAACCAGGCTATTCATGTATTTTACAATTATGTATATATTAAACAAATTGGATGTTCACAAATTCTAAATAAGTGAAATATGTAAAGTATACTACAAATTAGTTCACATATTTTTATTTTTAAAGTTTTTAATTTCATTTCAGCAAAAAAGTACAATTTACTTGATGTCCATTATTGTAATCATTAATTCAAAGAAATATTGAGGACAAAGTTTTAGTTGAGGGTTATTTCTTAGTTTTAATTTCTTAGCCAGAATGGAAAAGCTTTAATACTGTGTTATTGTTTGATTTTATTAACCTGTCAATTCCATACTCATTATACGGTCAATGCACAGAATATATTAATATTCGATAAGTGTTCGGTAAATTCCGTGAGAGGTACGCAGTAAGATGCGATTAAATTCATCTAGTTTCTATGAATTAGTTATACTGACCGTTATAGCGCAATAGAGTAAACTACGGGTATATAATTTCAAAATGTCCTACATGTAAGGTCGAGACCGTGTATGTCCAGAATTTTTTTCTTATTCATAACGATTTTCAAAATTTTTGAAGTTATGGTTGTTCTGTTTTTAATATGTATTGCACTCTTTTGTAAATACTAGATTTTTGTATATAACATTGTTTAAGAATTGATACTGAAATTACATTCGGATTATAATCAATAAATGTATTTCTAGAGCCGTAAAATACAATACCAAATGTGACAATTCAGTGTTTCTTAGTTGTTTCATATCCGTGTGGACAATTTTGCAAGCGCTTGACCATTTTCTTTAAAATATACCTAAAATTAAAAACAGAATAAGTCTAAAAAGAATGTCAAAAAAGGGATCGAACCTCGGACCCCTCATACATTAGGTAATCACTTAACCGACTGTTCTATTGCGGATGTTACGAGAACTAACATTAAGCTAGTGCGAGTTTTCCAAATGGTAGTGATATACTCCAATATTAATTCTCGTAAAATAAACGGACAAAGCCGAAGTGGGATCGAATATTCAAATGAGTGCTATAATGTATTCATTATTGACAGGTCAATAAAATCAGACTATAAATCATATAACTAAGATAAATAACTCATGCAATTACAATGAAATGGTTTATAAGGGTTTCTTCCCTTGGTACATTTCTCTACCTATTATTCAGTCTGTGAAATATATTCTGTCTGACCTTACATGCAAAACAAACAATTATCCTCAATTAATGACATTTTTGTTCAAAATTTACAACAAATGTTGTATTTTCCTTGATGTATGCAACTAATTCAATTATGATACTTAAGTAACATGCTATTTGTGCTTTCAAATATAGTTCATCTGCAGTAAAATTACATTTTTGATACATTCAGTGTGAAATTATCAAGATGTAATACACTGCTATCATGGTAATTTACTGAAAATCATGTAATAAACAGGAAGATTACATTCTAATAAGATAACATCCACAGTTTTAACATTAACAGAGAAAACATTAACAAAGTTTATATAGTGCAAGTGTTTCCATTAAAGCAGCATGCCTCCTGTTTCATGCTAATTTTCATTGAAAAAAAATTTGAAATTTATTTAAAAGTAATATATTGTGAAGTGAACAAAGAAAGTAATTTATACATATTGTAGCTTTACAATCCATGTAAATTACCAAAAAGGGGTCAAAACATGAAAAAATATTCCTTACTGCTCTAGTCACACAGTATATATATATATGGTGATATATACTGCAAAATCAGTCATTAATCACACATAACATGTAAATTATGTAAAAATTGTGCATGTATCATTAGGATTGATAATTATTTATAGAATTACATTTTTAAAAGGATGTAAAGATATTCTTGGTAAAATGAAATTTAGAAATTTAAAATTCAACAATTACTTTGTGATATATGGATAGAGCTTCAATAAAAAGTCTTTTAATATGTTTTTTATAAAACATAATTGATTTATATAAACAAACAAAATAAAACATTCCTTTACAAAATCAAATTAAGGCACCTCCAGATTTGTCGAGCATGTACAAAAACTCGGTATTTTCATTTAGTTACTTTGAAAAAAAAAAAAATATATTCTACAGGTTACAGACATTCAAATATAGTTTTATACATCTTTTTTTTTCTTTCAAAAATTGTTTATTCGAGGTGGAGGCGTGCAGCTTTAAGGAAGGAATGTTATATTAAAACCGCACCATTTCCAATTTATCTTTATCAAAGAAAGTGATGCATTTAATTTAAAAGATAATAAAATGAGGGAAATTTGAGCAATAAATACACAATGTATGAACAGCATTATTTGATTTATTTTCATGAAAGAAAAAAAAATGAACAACTTTAATCAGTAATTTTATGATTTTCTTTGTGAGGTTATAAATTGCCGTTTTTTTCCGATCTTTTCAGAACGTTAAATGTGTTAAAAGACCTAATACTGCAATGTAAATAGAAGCGACCGTATTGAAAAAAATTCACCAGAATGTCATTATCATTTATAATAGTTAATTAATTGTAGCCCTTTCGATAAATAACATTTTTCCTAATTATAGGTATTAGAATTTTTGTAATTTTCTAGTTAGTCATTTAGGTGGCATGTCTCCATCTTCTAATTATAAATATCATATTCCGTGGCGATTTCAGAGTAGCATGTTTACGTTCCATTGTTCATGGATTATTTGAAGATGAGTTACATTTTGGGTCCAGTTCAATACGCCTGGTTAGTGTAAATATGGATTAGAAATTAGATTTTCCAATTTCATTATTGCCCGATACAAAAGACCATAAATTAGTATAGTTGACAACAGAGAAGTGGCCTTGTTCTGTATGGGAGATAGATGGGAGATAGACGGCAAGGTTTATATCACGTGGAGATTTATACAATGATGTCACACCTAACAATGGTAGTATAAAGATATAGATATCAGATAGGTATAAACCCCATAACCCTCGACCCCGCCCCTGCCAATATATCACAGAATATTATTTCTATAC